TTAATCATTATCTCACTTGCATATGATCTTACTAGAAATATTGTACAACTCATCCAATTCTCTGCCCTTTTCATGTAATTTCCATATTTTGTTTTCCTTTTGTATTTCATGAGTTAGGCAGGGGATTAGTTTGAATATTTAGATCCTTGGCTCCATATGAAGCCAGTCTTTTATTAACATACTGGCAGCTGTGAAATGCCCCATTAATTGTTGCATAGAAATGGATACTGCTTTCCCAGGCTCGAGACAAATGTACTGTCATCAACAGAAGCTGGAATAACTGCAGATTTGAAAAGTAGGCAAGTGCTTCTCATAATGCGAAAAACAAAACACATTTGAGTATTAACTGCTGTTACAGCATTAATACAATAGAAGCACAAAAGGAGAGTCTTCCAAAATCTCTTAATACAAATACTCATTTGGTAGAACAGAACTCGAGTATTGCTGAGAAAAGGCAAAAACTTTTCGTTTTGCACTCATCCTGACAATTTGTAAATAATACCAATGTAAAAGAGGCACAAGACAGAAAGCTCTGACAAAGTGTGCTGTTTTCCAGTTCCAGTCAAACAGCTTGACCAGGCCACTGCTTCCCCATTGTGATATCAAAATTTTTCCCCAACTTTACTTTCCACTGAGACAACAAAGTGCAGAGCCGGATGAACACAGCAGGCCAAGCAGCATCATAGGAGCAGGATGCTGCTTGGCCTGCTGTGTTCATCCAGCTCTGCACCTTGTTGTCTCGGATTCTCCAGCATCTACAGTTCCTACTATCTCTGATTCAATTTTACTTTCCACTTCTTTGTTTTTCTTTTTTTCTCTTCTGGTGCCTCATGGTGCATCAGGCAGTCAAAGCATCTGCTTACATCTGTTTTAATATAAAATTCTTTCTATAACAGGTCACCAGCATGTCACCAGGTACTGGAGCTCGAGGGCTGCCACTCTGTATCAAGCGTGGCTAATCGGGAGACTCTCCCAATTATACCTTTCCCATATTGCATGAATCAATTTGTTTGGTTGAGTTATGTGGTACAGCAACTGCCCTGTCCAGGACCGTAAGAAACTACAGAGAGCTGTGATCACAGCCCAGTCCAACATGCAAGCCAACCTTCCATCCATTGACTCCATCTATACCTCTCAATGCATTGGAAAGGCAACCAATGCCATCAAAGATCTCTCCCACCCTAGTTATAATCTCTTCCAACATCTTCCATCAGGCAGAAGATACAAAAGCTTAAACACACATATCAACAGGTTCAACAACAGCTTCTTCCCTGCTGTTGAGACTGCTGAATGGACCCCTCAAATTTCAAGTCTAATGTTGAGCTTACTTTTTGTGCACTTCTTTGCAGCTGTAACTTTGTATTCCTTGCTTTGTTCAATCACCCTACGATCTTTGTAGTATGATCTGCCTGTACTGCATGCAAAACAAAACCTTTCACTGTACTTAGATACATGTGACAATAATAAATCAAATGAAAGAAAAATCAAGTCCTGGAGTGAGATTCGAACCCTAAGTTTCTGAATCCAATACAGCGACAATGACCAATGTGCTTTGCTCTTGACGACCCTGCCTAGAAATCTGCTCCATGGCCTGTTGTGTCTGTGTAAAGACGCAGTTTGAAACTGTGCTCCATTTAACTTGCTGTCACTGATTAGTTTGAGGTTGTTTTCCAGACTTCTGTTGTCCATGCTTTTTGCTGCTTTATATATTAAATTGGATTATCCCTTTAGAAGCCACTTTTTCAAGTTTGAAGAGTCAAATTTCTTCAGATCATCCATGAAGAGGATGCTCTGGTGCATTTGACTGGGATTTCCAATTGCACTGTCTTCTTATAAGATTATAAAGCCCACCCAAACTAACGGAATCCTCAGTATTACATGTCTTATGAAGAGCAGTGTCCTAGCTATACTCCTGGCCTCTCAAAGATTATTTGCAAATAAATTATTTTCTGCAATTCAGGTATAAAGGAGCATTAAATAAATTTAAGTCATAAATATAATCTTAATTATATATATAACTAAGAAAATTAATCTCCATTGAGCCAGCATTGAGATTGCAAACTCACAGTTATTGTAGAAAGACAGCATCTAGGCAACTGATTATTTTCTCTCAGTTTGGGAATAGCATGCGATGGAAATTTTGTGGGTACAATGGAGTAGCAGTTATGCTACAGTTTATACAGTTTTGTCTAGATTATAACCAAACTAATGTTCTGAGGAAGAGTCATATTGGATTTGAAACATTAACTTTATTTCTCTCCCATCTGCAAATGCTGACAGACCTGCTGAGTTTCTCCAGCATTTTCTGATTTAATTATCAACAGTATTGTGTTTAGCCCTTGGCAGTGCATATCAGGGAATATATTGGTGGGACTGCAATGTTAGAATGATAATGGCTTAAAAGGGTTAAATTATAATTGATGACTTAAATTAATCCTGTATTCCTTTAAGTGTAGTAGTTTATGGAGCAATCTAAATGTGGTATTTAAAATTATTAGAAGAAGTTGTAAGGGTAAGTACATGGTAACATGTCTTTATTTGTTGAGGGATTGCAGCCAGAACAAGAGGAGTAATGTTAAAATGAGAACTTGGCTTTTCTGAGGTGATGGCAGATTGCAGTTTTTGACACAAAGGGTAGTGGAAATCCAAAATTCTTTCCCCTAGAAATCTATTGAGCCTGGGTTTCAACCGAAAATCTCACAATTTGAGTTAGAGAGATTTTTATTTGGCAAAGGTGATTTCTTTGGGGAAGAGAAAGTTAACAGGAGATTTGATACAGACATTAAAAACCATGAGGAGTCCGAACTGAGAGAGAACACCCCCCCCATTGGTGCAAGGATCAAGAATGGCAAGTACAGACGTACACGAATTGACAAAAGAATCAATGAAGACATGAGGAGCAACTTTTATATGTAGTGAGTGCGAAGATTGGAATGTGCAGACACAGAGTGTGATGGAGATAGATTCAATCAAGGCAATTAAAAGAAAATTATACTATTATTTGAAAAGGAAGAATTTGCAAGGGGATTGCCTGTTGATGCATTGCTCATTCGCAGGGTCAGTGCAAGCACTGTGGGCTGAAAAGCCTCCTTCTGTACTATAACAGTGGACTGGACATTACATGCCCCTGCCAGGTGTGTTTCTGATGGGGAGGGGTATGTATTAAAGAAGGGCAGTTGCCCAGCACACCACCTTCCCCTCCAAACAGGAGCTCAACCTCATAATGCATAGTGTGGGCAGATACCAAGACTGCAGTCCAATTATGCAAATCAATAAGTAAGGGTCAATTTAACTTGTTAAAAAGTCGTAAACACTTTAATATTACCCTATCCCCACTAAAATGTGGTTGATGTGGGCTTAGGGCTGATCACATTTTTTAAAAGCTTCTTAAAATAGGAAGGAAGTGGGTGAGATCTTCGGAGGTTGCACTTTTCCATTGGGTCTGTTCCGCCCAGGAGACAATATCCCACTTTCTTCTTACCCTCACCTACTTTAAAACCAACCTCTTCACCCTCCTCATCCCCACACCAGGCTGGCAAAACCTTACCTGTACAATAACCCTGACTTATCTACATCTGGTGTTACAGTCATGGTCCTGCCTGCCATCCCATCAGCACTGATTACAGAGCTCTGGCACTGCCAGCCCTGTTAGAGCTGCCAACCAACAATTTGGTCATCAATTGCAGATGGTCTTCCTGTCATTTAGGGATGGAAATCCTGCTCTGCATGAATTTAGCCTGCCTACTGCCCTCTTTGTATCTCCCAGCAGACTGCTCCCCCCAAGTCCTCCTGCGAGTGTATGAGAATTCTGTGATTCTATGACAAAAAGAACTTGCATTTATGTAAAACACTTTTCACAACGTCAGACATCCTAAAGCTTCACAAGAATTTAAGCACTTTTGAAGTTGTCATGTAACAATAGCATAGCCAATTAGCACACAGTAAAGTCACACAAGCGACGATAAAATCACTACAAAGCCATTGCAAAATGACCAAATAATTTGTTTTAGTGACTTGTCATTGTGAGATAAATATAGGCCAGCAGATTAGGAGGACTCTCATGTTGCTCTTTCAATAGTGTGGTGAGATAGTTTATCTGAGAGAGCAAATCAGATCTGATACTTTTCACTATTTTAAAGCCTATAACCATTTTAAATGTAAACTTCCCATTTTTGATCCTGAAACTGAATCAGGCACTCCTCATATACAACACTGACATTAGGGATAAACTAATATGTTAGCTCTGATGAAGAGTCAGCTAGACTCGAAACATTAGCTTGCTGTCCCTCCATGGATGCTGCCTGACCGTTGTGATCTCCAGCGTCTTTTGTTTTCGGTACAGATTCCAGCAGCTGCAGTAATTTTCTCCTAATATGTTAAATTGTTCCTTATGTATCATTTTCCTTTAAAACAAATATCATTTCTAATGAGATCCAACGAACATTCTCTATCAATTCATATAAAAATGTAAAATTGTTCATAATTGATTGAGAGATATTAGTCAGCACTGAATCCACCTGCAAAATTGGTTGTTTCTTTTTTTTTGGGCAATTTTCAAAAATGAGAAACTGAATCTGGGCGTGTCATGTCTTTTAGCTGTTTAATAAATCAGATGAAATAAAGAAGAAATGCACTGTTGGTCATAGATAACTGTTATATTACAAATTAGTTTTTGTAGTTTATTCCATTTGTTTCTGCATCTTTCAGGGATAGTTTTAGATCTTATATTGTACACAAATGTCCAGTATTCTTTACACAGCAGACCTTGAATGTGATGGATTGATGCCTGCTGTGATCTCTGCATTTCTTTTTGAGTTAATTCTTAGGAACATTATGGTCATTATGTATCACTGTTGATTAATGAGCGATTTTCTGTATGTAGTGCCTATGTCACCAAAATCTCTGATTTCCTTTCCACAGATTAATTTGTTATTTCTGAAGTACAGCCATTTTGCTGAGGAGATTGATTGACGCAGACCGAAAGGCTACAGAATGAGAAGATGGCGTGTCACCTCATTCATCCAGGCCCTGACAGTCTACGCAAATTCACCAGAGAGTCTTTGGCTGAAATTGAGAAAAGAATTGCTACGGAAAAAGCTGAAAAGGCAACAAAACCTCCAATAGAAGATGAAGATGAAAAACCCCAACCCAAAAGTGACCTGGAGGCTGGCAAACCGTTGCCATTTATTTATGGAGACCTCCCCCCAGAATTAATTGCAGAGCCTCTGGAAGAATTAGACCCATTTTATGGCTCAAAGAGAGTAAGTCCTAGAAAGATTCATTACATCTATAGGAACCTCAACTGTTGAAAGTGAAAAAAGAGATGGACGCAGTTTATTATGAGAAGCTATCTGATAGCAATTATATCCTATGAATGAGTTATCGGCCACCTTGGTAGTTAACCAGGGCAGTAATTTCTACTTTTAAACATATGGTGTGATAAAATTGCTTTTTTTTGTTGTTTTAGAGGTTCTGATGACACAAAAAGAACACCAAAAGTAGTGAGGAACTGTCCTAATGAGAATGAAGCTCATAATGCAATTGATAATAGGAGAGAGAAAGTACTAGAGAAAGTAATGGGACTAAAATCTAACCAATTTCCTGAACTTGAAGGCCAACATCCAAAGGTTCGAATAAAGGTAGCTGCAGAGATACATTGGTTATGATCTTTCAAACTTCCCGGCATTCTAAAGTGGTCCCAATGGATTGAAAGGTATTCATTATCCATAGAGGATGATGTGACTCATACTTGGAAGTGAAAGGGGTTGGAAAATGGTCGGTTTTAACCAGCTAACAGAAGGCGAGGAGGGGTGAGTGGAACAAGTGATGTGGGTGCCCACTGGGGCAAACCCAGGACAGAACTGGGTACAAATTGTCTTCAAATTTGCTCTGATTTTCTGAGGTGAATATACGTTTCAATTTTTTACCAAAAGTTATTTGCATAATCACAGACATAAACCAGTACAATCAGACATGACTTTACAATGTAATTGTTTATTTCACTTTAAAGCAGTGAACTAGTACTGAAAACAGGTATATGAAAAAATAAAAGCCGCGACAATCAATGTTTAATCGACTGCCTGTGAGTAATCTGCATTTAAATAACTAAACAAAACTATACAGATACATTTATGAGTAGCATTGGTCTACACTAATCAATTGCTTGGTAAGTTAAAGTTATTTTTAGTATTTAAATGCTTTCAAATTGCCGATTGTGGCCTTATGCTAAAAAAAATGTAATTTTAAGACTACCCTTGAATGGCAGTGAACAGAAGACATTACCAGGAGCACGGCATGGTGATTAATCCAACCTGGGAGTGAGACCAGTTTATGAGCAGGGTTTACACTGAACATGATGACTTCTAAACCCGTGTAAATTCATTTACACTGGATGTAGTTTGTGGTTGAAGTCATCAATTTTTTTTGCTGGCTTGACTGTTTTGAGGCGAATTGTGAACACTCTCTATCAGAGGCTCTACTCTCTTCTCTTGACCCAGAAATTTGTAATTAGATGTGTTAGATCTCATTCAAACCTACAGAAATCACGCCTTCATCTACCATTTATGATCTATTATGCACCCAACCAAGTCCCCAGCTGAGCTCTGCAGTGGCCCAATCCTCAGCAGTGATTACCCTTACTCCCAATAAGTTGCTTGCTTTGTTGGATAGGAGGCCTAAGGACCAATAGCAGGTTCATCCTGGGCTTTGCTGTTCAGGTAGAGAGATGGTACCTTGTGCCACTAAATCATACACTTTACATCCCTTGAATGGCACATCTGTGAGCTGATCTTGTGAAAGATGATTTCCAAGTCTGGCAAGAGAATGTGGTCAAGAGATCTCACTGATTCTCCTCCCCTTGTGTGATTTAACTACAGTGAAGCACTTTAATGTAGAATTTCAAATTTTTTGCAGTGTTAGTCAGACCCTGCTCTGCACTGCACGTTCCCTCCCAGCACCAGTGGGTGTGAGGTACTTGACTGAATGTCATAAGAGTTACCCTATACTTTCAGCCGAGACCCGTGCTGTAACACAGGAAAGGCTCATGATAAGCTTTATAAATTGAGCTCTTAGCAACTGACATTGGATATTCAGGGAAGAGATCATTTTGAGCTGTCAATGTAGAGACCACATAAGACAAGGATGGAACAATCACATCTGATTTTATGACACTGTAGATTCTAATTGTCTTTGGTGGAAGGTAGGTTGGCCATACAGATCGGCATCATAAAAGTCTCTGAAATCTAATTTAACATCTTTATGAGTAGCAAACTGATTCCTAATTACAGTCTTGCTGTCCTTACGTCTGTAGCAGTAGGGATTAGAGTCATTTAAGAGGCCGAATCCATACAATCAAATATAGTTGAGTTAAATATAAAATACCTTTGGGAGTTACTAGCTTTAATATCAATATATTAATGTTTGTTAACTGACAAACTTTAACAGATGGCAGAACCTTTGGCTCTATGTAGTGGTGAGCTAAGAGCCGGAAAGGCACTTCATTAGGAGGGGTATGAAGGTAACTAAATCCTACCATCTTCTCAACTCCATCAGAATTAGGTTTTTGTTGGGAAAGCCTATCGTGGACCTTCTAGCCTTCTCCAATCGAGACGCCCAAGGACCTCACGTCGCCTGCAGCTGGATGAATCTTGCTGCATGTGGGGTCTGTTGCCATGTAGCGCGTCCAGTGGGTCAACCTTGTGAGGACAGCATCCTGGGTGAGAGAGTGGCAAGTCCCTCATCCAAAACAATCACTGCCCGATTAAGAGACTGGGCACAGGTTGGGGAGCTCTTGCACCCTTTCCTCCTTCCATTCCCTTTCCCCGTGCCACACTGCCTCTCAGTCCAGAAAAATACCACTCACAACCTCGGTCTTGTGTTCTCCATGATCTTAGGTCGGCAAGGGTGCAATTCCAGCAGCACCTATGGTCTTCTCTGTGTTGCTCTGATTGGCTGGCAGCACATGAAACTGATCTCAATTCCACTCAAGGCTTACCTTTGGCCTGGCCAATACCAGATTAGAATGTGGTTGGTGGGTCTGTAACTGGGAGAGACAACACAGGTCTGTTGGCACCTCTCCAACTGACTGGTGAGACCACCACTGCCTCAGCGAGATTTGTTCATAGTACGGCTGGCCTGACTCTCAATCTGATTTGTATCTTGCTCATATTAAATTTCAGCTGCTATGCTTTGTGCCCTTGTAATCTTGTTAGTTTTGAAATGGTGCTGTGTGAATATTGGAAGGCCAACGTAAAATGTTTTCATAATCAAATTTTTTTATTGAAGTGTTAACACATTTATTTTAGACAGGTTAACAGCTGCATTAAAATAGGAGTTTCACACAATGAGCTGAGCATTTGCACTCTAATCATTGCAGCTGTAATTTTAAGGCCCTGATATTTGATTTGAACTACAGATGAAATGGAGGAAATGGACTGATCACATTATGATGCTGTTATTCCCAAACTTTACTGTGGGGAGATTGGGAATGGAGGCTATTTTAATTACTTGTTATCTGCTTCTCAAACGAACAAAAAACACCACCGAATAAATATCTAAGGGAGCCTTTGAAAAACCACTTACCAACTTGAGTAGTCTTCAGGTTTTGTTTCGAAATCAGCGTCCAACTATCTTGCTCCAAATGGTATAATTATGCAACTTGCTGGACTGTAAGACTCCAATTGAAAGTTTCTTGAAGAAAAGTGGGGAGAAAGCAAGTAATACAATTGTTCCACATTTTTCAATTGTTAAGAGGCTGCAGCACAGTTTGCAGTCAGTTCCCTTCAAGCCTCACAGAAATCTTCCAGCTTGCTGCCAGTCTGTCCTTATGACACCAGCACTTATCATGTACCGTCAGATCTGCTTATTCTGAAAACTCTACCTACTTTTCCTCAACCAGATCCCTAAAGCATACTGCTCCTTGCAGTTTCTTTCTGCAACAGGAAAGCAAATGGAACATGGTGCCTGCAGCTCATTCATAAAATTTACCATGGCAAAACTTGCAAATGCCTCCAGCCTATGGGCTGAAGCCTTGAGCACTAGTTACCAGACCACATGCTGTCAATGCGTTTGGGTTAGGGTTAGTTAATGCAGAACCACATATCTCCCTCAATGTTTGTCTCTTGGTCGAGGTAATTATTACTGAGAAAAGTTAATATTGCAAAACCAGCAACTTACAGTTTGGTGGCACTGAGGTCAAAAACAAGTTGGTTCAAACTGCTTTACTGGTCTCTCGAGCTCCGTTGTCACATTAACCTGTGTTTCATTTTCTGTTTCAGACATTCATAGTCATAAACAAGGGGAATACCATCTTTAGGTTCAGTACAACGCCTGCATTGTACATGTTGAATCCCTTTCACCCCCTCCGGAGAGCTGCCATCAAAATCCTCATCCATTCATATCCTTCTTGCTTACTTCTGCAAAGATGATTTTTTTTAAAGCCTGCTATTGAAAACCTGTAAATACCATACCTTGTTCTTAGTAGTTATTTTGAGAGTAAAGTTTGGACCAAACTTCAAAAATAAATTATCGTTGAAGAGTTTGACTAATGGTGGACACAGATTGGAATCATCCAATAACCTATTGCAATATCAGGAAAGCAAATAGGTTACCATAGCATCAAATAGCTCTTGGAATGAAAGGAAGACAGCTGAATGTAGATAGAATCCTTACAGTGTGGAAGAGGCCATTCAGCCCATTGAATCCACACCAACCCTCCAAACAGCATCCCACCCAGACCCACACCCATATTTCCCATGGCTAATCCACCTAGCCTGCACAAAATGGGCAATTTTTGCATGGCCAATCCACCTAACCTGCACATCATTGGACTTTGGGAGGAAACTGGAGCAAGCCCACACAGACATTGGGAGAATGTATAAACTCCACACAGACAGTGACCTAAAGGTGGAACTGAACCTGAGTTCCTGGCGCTGTGAGACAGCAATGCTAACCACCGAGCCATCATGCCACCCTAGATAGAAATAATTCAGTGTGCATCAATGCTTTGAGTAATGGAAATTATTAAATAATGTTTATTAGTGATATAAGAGATGCTGTTTTCCTTAACCTTGTTTTTGTAAATTATTTAGCTTATTCATCATGTTTACAATTTTAGCAAACTGTGTGTTCATGACAATGAGTGACCCAGCGCCTTGGACTAAAAATGTAGAGTAAGTTTATGAATTAATTTCTTCCTGCTAATTGCATTATAAATTCATGTTATCATTGTTGGTAAGAGTGTGATCATTATTCACAAAGATATCCTGGAATTGTAATACACTGGTGCCCTGTTAGCAGATAAGAGTGAGGTATCATTAATATTTGCTGTTATAGTTCAATATGTATTCTCTAATAGTGTTTCAAAATGTGTGGAGGTGCACAGGTGTTACAGCCCAGTAGTGTGCAAGTACATTTACCACATAGATTGCTCAAGAAGACCAACTACCATCTATCAAGGACAATAGAGATTGGCAGAAATGTTGGCCTTGCTGCTGATACCGTATCCAAATATTAATCATTTTTTAATAAGAACTCCAGCTATATTAAAGACAAATGCAAGAACTGAATATTCACCAATGAAGTACACAGCTTATAATACGTTATTTCTTTAAGTCTCTGTCCAGCAGGATAATATTCCTTATTTTTCAAAATCATGTTTAAAATTGTGAACTATTGGTTCGTAATCTCTTTAATTAGGCAATGGTTTGCTCCTCCAAAATCCTCGCCTCATTTCTGAGGTATATTCCTGAGATATGTTGTTATTGATACTTCCAACCCTCTAGTACCTTTCTCAAGTGCCAGTTTTCTTATGTGTCCATTGGCAATAAGGAACATCTGAACTCAGACAAATTTGGTCCTCATCTCTCAGCAGCGGGATAAGAAACAACAGCAGGAATTCTATCAGAGATAGTAGGAACTGCAGATGCTGGAGAATCTGAGATAACAAGGTGGAGAGCTGGATGAACACAGCAGGCCAAGCAGCATCATAGGAGCAGGAAAGCTGACGTTTCGGGCCTAGACCCTTCTTCAGAAATGGGGGAGGGGGTTCTGAAATAAATAGGGAGAGAGGGGGAGGCGGATAGAAGATGGATAGAGGAGAAGACAGGTGGAGAGAAGACAGACAGGTCAACAAGGCGTGGATGGAGCCAGTAAAGGTGAGTGTAGGTGGGGAGGTAGGGAGGAGATAGGTCAGTCCGGGGAGGACGGACAGTTCGAGGGGGCGGGATGAGGTTAGTAGGTAGGAGACGGGGGTGGGGCTTGAGGTGGGAAGAGGGGATAGGTGGGAGGTAGGACAGTTTAGGGAGGCGGGGACGAGCTGGGCTGGTTTTGGGATGCGGTAGAGGGAGGGGAGATTCTGAAGCTTGTGAAATTCACATTGTGAAATCCACAGCAACTCATATTCTGCTTCGGAACCCTGCAGCCCAATGGTATCAATGTGGATTTCACAAGCTTCAAAATCTCCCCTCCCTCTACCGCATCCCAAAACCAGTCCAGCTCGTCCCCGCCTCCCTAACCTGTCCTACCTCCCACCTATCCCCTCCTCCCCCCTCAAGCCCCACCCCCGTCTCCTACCTGCTAACCTCATCCCGCCCCCTCGACCTGTCCGTCCTCCCTGGACTGACCTATCTCCTCCCTACCTCCCCACCTACACTCACCTTTACTGGCTCCATCCCTGCCTCTTTGACCTGTCTGTTTCCTCTCCACCTATCTTCTCCTCTATCCATCTTCTATCCGCCTCCCCCTCTCTCCCTATTTATTTCAGAACCCCTTTCCCCTCCCCCATTTCTGAAGAAGGGTCTAGGCCCGAAACGTCAGCTTTCCTGCTCCTATGATGCTGCCTGGCCTGCTGTGTTCATCCAGCTCGACACCTTGTTATCACAGCAGGAATTCTGTTTGATTTAATTTCGCCCTCTTAGCTCATGGGCCTTTTAACCACTTGTCCCTGTTACCACCTCAGTTTGAACTAGCTTCTTAATAGTGTTGGAAGAGCAGTCCAGCATTTAAGTTGGAAGGAGCTTCTCAATAAGGATGCATGTGCAGATAGTGGTTTTAACATATAAACATCACAAGGGAGAAGAGTCAGAGAAAAACAAAGCCTAAATAGGAGCAAAAGAGTGAAATTTAGTGACTAAAGACAAAGTCAAATAGATGGGTTCTAAAAAGGTTTTGGAAGTTGGGGGTTCAGGGTGTTCCAGAGAGTTGAATCAAAATGGTCAAAACCTTCTATCATTTGTGGAATAGAGGGAGAAGGCATGCAAAGCAAGCCAGAATCAGACTGATGAGATCACCAATTGGAATCTAAGCTTTGGGGAATTTGAAGAATTTACAGCAGTTCCCTGGGTGATATTTTGGAGAAAAATGAGGATTAAGAATTTGAATCTACTATTTTGAGGGGGCGAAGCAAATTCAGTGAGAACAGTGTTTTAGTGCAGAAAAGACATATATGATGGAAGTTTGGCAATTTTAAATTGATCTACGAGGAAATTTGCAAGGATCACATACAGCATGTCAAGCCTGGATTGAATCAAGTTCTCAGGAGGGCTCCAGCAGCAAAGAGGTGAAGAAAGGACAGAGGTACAAGAATGCAGTCAGTTGATGGATAGAATAAGAAATTGGAAACTCAGCTCAGAGTCAAAACATTATGGTTGCACTTTGGCTTCAGCCTAAACCAGCAGTCAAAAAGAGGGATTCTGGTGTGAGATTGGGACAAGAGTGCACATAGGTTATGGTGGAACTAAGCAGCATTATCAAATCTAAGTTAGAGAAAATTCTGGCTCATCCATGCCTTGATTTTGGACAATTACTCAACCAGTTCTGGTCTTATTGTCAGTGGTGATGGAAGGCATGGTGTTTGTATCATCAGTACATGTGGAAGCTGCCTCCATGCTATTGACAATGTTACCAAGAGAAGCAAACAAAGAGGGCCAAAAATTGAACCTTAAGGAATATGGCACTTAAGGTCCAAGCAATAGGTTAGGTAGATTAGTGGGGGTAGGGCCGCAATGGTGCAGAAGAGGGAGACAGTATTTGGTCACTGCATTTGGACCAGTTTTAAAATACATCTTTGTATTTTGACAAGAGTAAGAAGATTATCTTTTTTAAGATTTTTTTTGTAACTTTATAAGCCATTCTCCAAACTCACTAAAGCTAATGTAGATAGGCTGGTCAAACCTGACTCAGTAAATGTCTAAGAATTATTTTGAATTTTTTTCAGTACTTCATATCTGCGTTACTGTAACAAACATGTATCCAGATTTCCATACCCATTCTAGCACATAAAACTCCATACGCAGATTAAAAGTCAGGCAAAGGCGTGACATTAGTAGTGAAAGATTTGTGTGTAAGACTTTCTGATACTTGGATGCAGATGGCAGTCGGTCCATTTGGCCCAATGTTTTGTCTTAAATTGCCTGTACATGCACTATGTGGCTGAAATGATCCTTGCATTAAACGCACTGCTAATAATCGACTCATACTTTGCAATGTTAGGTTATGTAAACTTGATATCCACCAAAATAGATATTATCTAATCAACATGTTTAGAGATGTTCTTACACACCTCTGGAACAGGTGGAACTTAAACCCCAGGATTCCTGGCTCAGAGGTAGGGACACTACCACTGTGATACAATGCATGTTTTTCCTAAAGAAATGTAATGTTTAAATATTGCCGTCCAGCATTTAAATTATTTCTAATTGGACCCTAATTTATTGACCTACCATGTTACTTTTGCCCACTTCATTCCTACCTGCTTTAATTGGTTATCTGCAGGTACGTATTCACCGGGATTTATACTTTTGAAGCAATGATAAAGGTATTTGCCCGAGGATTTGTCATTGATGACTTTACATTTCTTCGTGATCCATGGAACTGGCTGGATTTTAGTGTCATCGCAATGGCGTAAGTAACAGTTACCCATATGTTGATAAAGTTTCTTCAGATAGAAATTACAAGGCTGCATCACCAATATCGAACCACATTCAATGCAAAATAGATACAGAGTTGGAGACAATAGCCCTTTCCCCCAAATGACCCTCACATATAGCAAAGCTTTCTGTTGCCAGTGGTACCATGCAAACTCTATCTCACAGATCTGTCAAAACTGTCACCAATGTGCAACTGTTGTAGTGGCTAATTATTTTCTCTCATGCTGGTTAAATCCCAGGGCCTGAAAGGACATAGGGTGCAGCAGGGAGAATTCATTCCAGTGTGCATTCCCAGATGAACCCACGTATAGCCTTTGCTAATCGCTTCCCCGCCCCTGTAATCAGATGGATATTCCTTCCATTTGTAGGCACCCACATCACATGACTCCTACTCTGCAAGAAGACCACAAGTTGCAGTTGAACATTGACTGCATTACTGAGGGAGGTGTCCAGGAATTTCTATCCCTGGCAAGGCCCAGTAGATATCACAATGCATGTTATATTTGGGCCCCCGGTCTAATTTCCGGCATGTGGAATTTAAATCCCTCTGTACGTTTCACCTTCCTGCATTATTTTGGCTGCTGTCTGATTTTGGTCTACAGCATTCCACAATGGAAATCCATTCTCTTCTTGATCATAGTTCGCTGCAGTGAGGCCAAAACAAAAACTTGCTGTGACAGTCCCTTACCCATTCTATTATCAAACCCTGCTAACCGAATTTAGCATGTGACAAGTAAATACTTTTCTTTTCACTCAGTAATTGATGATATTCGTTGGCAGCAGCTGAAGGTCCCAACAGCCATCATACAACATTCATACCCCTCGGAGTGATTCACACAACAGACTTCTTTTCCAACACAGTGGCTGTTTTGGGGTAGATTTGTAGCTCGGGTTGTGGATGAGGTTGTAGACTTGCTTGCCGAGCCAGTGTGTTTGATTGCAGATGTTTCGTCACCCTGCTAGGTAACCTCATCGGTATGCCTCCAGTGAAATGCTGCAGTCAAACATACTGGCTCAGCGAACAAGTCTACAACCTCACAGTGACTTGTTTTATGTGCAGCACCTTAAGATGTCTGTATCACATCACAAAACCCTGGAAGCCAGGCAAAATATCTTCTGTTATTTCAGTTCCTGGAAAACCTTCCAACATACTGATTTGTATTAATAAGGATATTTAATAAGAGTGCAGAGTCAGTGTATGTTATACATGGCGGACTCCGTTTTCATCTCCAGCTCTCACAATACACAGCTATGCATGTATCAGAAATTTCTGTGCTTCCACTGCCCCAGTTCTCACACACCATAAAAATATATTCAGATTCATAGGCAGAAAATCACAGCAATGTATTGACAAACTCTTCAGAACAGTACTTGACAACTGTTTAATCAAGCAGGCTGCTTTGTGCTTGGATGGTATTGAGCCTCTGAATGTTGCTGAATTCCACCCGTCCAGATAATTGGAGAGTATACCCTCACACTCCTGACATGTGTCTTGTAGATGGTGGACAGGGGTTTCGGGAGACAAGAGGTGATTTACTCAAGCTGTATGGGCCGGCTGACTCACTTTGGTGTAGCAGATGCAGTGTCGTGATGACATTTGCTGTTGCCGTCATTATTTCCTGGAGAAAACTGCAAACCTGCTTGGTAGAGGGTGGTAAAGGAAAGCCACTTCCTGGTCTAATTGAGGAGTCTTTTGAAGTTGTGAAGATATAGGTTATTGCATATTAATAATTAGTTACAGCACACATTGATATAATAAATGTTATTTAGAAACTTTGAGGAGGACCAGATATTGGGTCTCAGCCCTTTGAGATCCAAAGCTGTTTTGCCCACAAATCAATATGATGTCATCATAGTAGGCGGAGCTTATGATATTCCTAGAATTAACCTGTTCAGAAATTTTCAGTTTAATTCAGTTTAATTTCATTTTTAATATGGGTCATTGAGGCATTCAAGAGGGAATTAGCTGATTATTTGCATGGAAACAATGTGGAGAGTTGCAGGAGATTGGCACTAAGTCAAAATGCTCAGAGAGTGGGTACAGATATAATGGGCCAAATGGCCCCCTTCTGCACTGTTACAATGCTGTAATTATGTGACAGATAACATCTGCCTCCTAACTTCTTTTTCTATTGTTACACATTTGCCATCACCCCATCTCCTCCCAAGTCTCTGATTTTACAAATTCAAGTGATTTGAGAGTTTCGCTATTCTCCCAAAAAGCATTACCTTGGGACTTATAAGACTGGTAGTTTCCTGGTTTGTAACCCATCGACTTTGATTCTCTTCCTGACAGACTGCAATTATCCCAACTGATCAATGCTGGATGATGAACTCTTAATGGGATAAGATTACTGTGGTTCCTTCACACAACCACTTTGAAGTCCAAACAATATATGAACTCTGCTGTTCTCTGCAGAGCCTTTGATAAATGTATCTTTCCTGTTTAGATCCTTAATCCAATCCTGTGGTCCCCGTCATAAATGTAATGATTGCCTCGTGTGTGGTGCCTATTGTAATGTACAGCCTCATGTGCACGATAGGACTGAACCTTATTTTGTATTGATAGATTTGTAGATGTGAATGTGGAGTCAATGTCCTTGGTAGGATGGGGAGCTAAATCTCCATCTTCCTGCCCATCAACAGCTGGACCACATTGGAGTGGGGGAATCTATAGTGTCAAATAGAAGTTTGTGTTCTTCTTTAAGAGCAACTTAACCGTTCTAACCCATTGTAGGAACAGATTACTGCCCATGCTGGAATCTGTACTGAAAACACCAAATGCTGGAGATCACAGCAGGTCAGACAGTATCCATGGTGAGAGAGCAAACTAATGTTTTGCGTCTAGATTACTCTTCAGCTCTGATGAACAGTCTTATTTTGAGCTCTGGTGTCACTTTATAGTCGTGGACATAGTAGTGTAAGATGTATGACTGGTCATTCCAGCCTTACTTCAGGAAGATCCCTCAGGAAAGCTGCTCCAGGGAGACTCGGGGACAGCCATGTATAAAGCCAGAGCTTGGCTAATACAGTCGTCTGGGATCTCCAAGAACACTGGGGATTTCGTCAAAGAAGTGACACCTGTACCATCCACAGCACAGAGCAATGAGGGACTTTGATGCCATTACCAATGTCTTATAGCAAGTGCTTGCAATGTCTAGTATACCTGATGTGGAATAACAGGATACAATTCACTATTTAGTACTTCAGTCAACTTGCAGCCATTTCTGGGTTTGATCATGTCACAGACTCAGTGTGATACACACAATTAAATGGAAACCAACCCTCAACACAATTCTGACAAATATTAAGAGACATCTCTGGTACCTTGTCTCTTCCTGTTGGATCTGGCAAATCAGATTGTGGCTTTTTGTTCATTGTGCCATCGTACACTGATTGTAACACTCAATTTTGTGAATAGACTCAATAGATTGAATTTTTCCAGCCCTTGATTAACATGGGCATTGATGAATCAATTGGGTTAATATGGCAAGATCAGAGAAATGAGATTCCCAGTCTTGAGAAAAAAACGTCTGATTTTCCACTCAATGGCAGGAATCTTATTAGTGAGTCTCATAGTAAGTTTCAAAGTACCTAATTTCACCTTATTGATATGCAATTTGCTATTCTCCAAAGTGGCAGAGAAAACTAGATGGTGACAATTCCCAATGAGGGTTCAAGCTCCAGCTTCCTCCTTGCTTCTCTGACTTCATTTTGGCCAGAGTCTCCAACATTTCTGGACATGTTCCTTGGGCAGTGCCCACCTCTACCCCCACTTAACTCGGAGACGTTGGCCTTGGACATGCACCATCCTCACCACATCGTCTTGCCACATGTCTGATTCACGTAGAATAGAGTTCTTCATTTCAATGTTGGAGCACAGCAAACTTTGAGTGCAGGAACAGGTACCATCTCATGCTATTGAGCAGGCTGCACTTCAGGACTCTTTGTTTACTTTTTTTTGGTTCACTCACTGAAGCTTAGATTGGTCTTAGGGGGTGTTGCCGTGCACTCCAGACAGTGTGCTGCATAACCCAAGCATGCTGTGCTCTATACACCCAAAACTGGTAAATGGGGGTAGTGATAGATTCTGAAGAGCTGAGAGAGTGGCAGCAGCTTTCCAAGCAGGAATATTGATCCGGAAGAACATCACCTTCAGCACCATAGAGCAGTGCTGCATCAGGTGCAACAATCCAGACAGGATTTCATTAACACCTGGTTCCAATGGATGTTTGCTTGAAGCAGTTATCACTCATTGACCATAATCTTGCTGTTACTCAAAAGGCAAGCTCACCATGTGTGTACCCAGAAGTAAATGCAGCTTTGATTATTTGTTTTTCTCCACTCTTCCTGTTGATTAATAAAAATGGAAGGTCTTAACCACTTGAAGTCTTTATAATGTGATACTTCCCCATTGAATAATGAACAGATGTTAAGCTGTGTGTTAGGGAAAGAGTGGCACTCCTTTTAGACACAGTTCTAACACGGTATGGTAGTTAAGTCCAGGCAGCCAATGTAGCTTCATTTTGGTAGCTGCAGTTGCAATGACAATTGATCAGACAGGTGATGATATAAAGTAGGAATACATTTATGAATGTGAGATTCCAATCTCAGTGAAGTATCATCTGTGTTATCTATGTGCCCTCAGAAGCATTGTTTCTCATTTCCCTCCCATTATATACACTGTGAAGGGGTGTTTGTGGCTCACAGCAATTGATGTGGAAAACAACTCACTTTTAAATGTGGTGCTGCCGGCAAAAATCTTAGAAAGTCCCAGAAGTAGCAAATGTTTCTGCAGTTGGTGAATGCACCATAGTCTGAGAGAATGCCATAGAGGTGTGGTGTACACAATAATATGAGGGATGGAGAATTGTCTGATATAACTTGTTTGAGCTCAAGGAGAGAAACCCTCCCTTAAACTCCCTGAAATGGACACTTAGCTGATCTATGGTAAAACTGAACCTAATTCACTGCTTGGTAAAGCTGTCAACCATCTAGAGAGTACATCTGCTGTCATCAGCAGTTTTCTCTGCAAATGTAGATTCACAGGTGATACTCCTGAGAATCTTAGCATTCAGAGACATCCTTGTTAGCTCATTCTCATTCAGTCAAGAAACTAGAGGTTTTTGATCCATTCCTATGATCAATTTCAGACCAAGTATTCCATCTGAAAATCTTTTGCATGCCCATGTAACTAGAAGAACTTCTTTCTTGATCATGCCACGTCATGTTTCTGTATCCGAAAGTACTTTTGATGCATAATAAACTGGTTTATTCCTAGACATGCGCTGTTTCTAAGCTTGTAGCTGAAACATTGGCTGCTATGGTGGTTAGAAATGACAGGTTATAATACGCTATGACGCCCAAGGAAATCAACAAGTCCTTGATTCTCTGAAAAGCAAACTCTAGATGCAGGTTCCAACAACATCCTACATCTTCTTGAGCAATTTTCTTAAGAGTTCTATAGTAGTTGCCAAGTGAAGCAAGTTCTTTGGAGATTCCGGTTGTCTTCACAATAGGGAATTCCATATGGCTTTAGTCTTCTGAAGATCCACTATTATATCTTCTGTGTTGACCATGTCACCTAGGAAACAAACATGGAGAAATGGCACTTCTTATCCAGGGTGAGTGCTTCCACTTGTAAGTGCTTTAGGTCTGCATGCATTCAATGATCTTGCTCTTCAGCTGTTTTCCCATGTATCAATATGTCATCCAAGTGGCACATGTGAGGAACTTGTAAACATTTGGCATCGTTTGTTGTAAAAACCTATGGGGCGAAGGTAATCCCAAATCGTCATCTTTTGAAACTAAATGTCCCAAGTGGAGTTATGAATGTAGTAAATATTCTTGATTAGTCCCAACCAGAATGCACGATTTTTATCGAGTTTAGTGAAAATTCTACTTTTGCATAGAAACTGTGTTTCACTTCTGCATGTTTTCTGAAAGTGGCCTATGGTGTAACAGATAGGGCATTCACTTTAACAGCTGGGTACTGACTGTGACTTTGAAGTTTCTTTTCTTTCAGTGCACGCAAGGACATTTAGGATCTGATACCTTTTGTACTAACAATACATATTGTTTCCACATTTGTATCATTTGTGATTTCGTACCTTAAGAATTGAATGAACTGTGCTGGTCCCCTGTCCCGAGTTTGATCTTCTCTTCTTGGGATTGGTCTTTGTTGCTTCTGAACTTTTACTACACTCACTATTTTGATGCCATTTTCTAGAGCCAGATCCTCTATGGACTGTAATAAATCTGAGAAAGACTCATCAGCAATTCCTGTAATTCTGTCTTTTTGGAATTCTAATTTGAAGACACCATAGATGCTTTTCTTCACTAATCCATTCAGATTATTAATGAAATCATTTATGAAATACTCTGGATCTTGAACTCTTCTGCAAACTCTTCTGAGAATTTTATTAGTTTTAGTGTCACTTCACTTCAAAAGTATCTGTTGCTTATTTTACCTTCGATAAAATGACATCATCAATTATTCTCCCAATTGTGAATGAAAGTGCATTCATTTGTTCAGCTTCTGATTTAGTATCTAATTTGGAAATGATTCTATATCCCTGGAAGTGTTGCCACCAATGTATTTACGTCTGTGTTCTATTTGGTCCATCTCAGAAATGAAATTTTCCTGGCAGTATTTTTGCTGACGTATTTCTAGTAGGATTATCTATTTTCACTTGTTTAAAAGACTTCTATTTCACAGTAATAGCAATTCTGACACTCTATGCTGTGGAACGGGGGTGGGGGGGTAGTGGTTTCCACTTTTTGTGACTAAAATGGAGGATTTTCACCTTTTTCATGGCTTTATTGTACGAATTCTGCTATTTGCAGCTTTATTAAATACTATCTGCTTTAGTTATGATTTTATGGTATGATTCCCACTCTCCATGGTTTAACTAAATTATTCCCTCCGTTGTGGCACTTATGAAGGATTTACTGCCTCTTTTGGGGACTGAATAAGGTCTCCCAAACTTCCAATCCTTGCGAGCCCAAGTTTGCTGAGGTGTGCAATTGACCAGTATCCAACCAGTGTTACCCTTTCTGCAACCTCACATTAATAATCCTTTGTGGCCCTTTAATTCCACTCTGTAGCTGTGCCTCGTGGTGCTCAGTCAGTATGGCACTGTCACTCAGTCTGATTCTACCTCATTGGAGATGGTCATTGCCTGTCACTGTGTGGCAATAATGTTATTTGCATTTAGCAACCCAAGACTGAATGTTGCCAGGACCTGCTGTATATGGACACAGACTGAAGAGCCACAAATAGTCCTGAGCATTGTGCAATCATCAGCAAACGTCATCACTTCTGATCTGATGATGGCTCATCACCAAGAGTGGCTCAGATTGATCTGGCTGAGTTCTTAAAGGTATATCTACCAAGCTTGGCTTGTGGCAGGCAACAACGGAACCAACAGGAGGGGAAATCTTACTTAACCTTGCCATTACCGATCTACCTATTGCAGATGCATTTGTTCGTGACAGAGCTGGTAGAACCACGGTACTGTCTTCATGGAGACAAAGTCCTATCTTAATAGTCAAGGCACCCTTTATTATGATCTGTGGCACCATGCTAAAATTAATACATTCAGAACAGATCCAGCAGCTCAGAACCAGGTATCTGTGAAATGCTGTGAGGTATCATGAGTGGAAATATAATACACTCCAATCTGTCATTTCATGATCCGCCATATCCCTCTCTCTGTCATTACCAACAGACCAGGGGACTAACCCTGAATGGAGTCAAGAAAGCACCGTGATGACAGCACTCCTAATTTTCTATGCAACCAACCTACTTCATGGTTTCATGTTGACTGGAAAGATTATGTCCTATGTCGCAATTCTTTCACTAACACTGGGTCAAAATCCACTGTAATTGCTGCATGCTTAACTGCAAAAAGTGTAAAAGGTAAAGCAAAACCTGATGATGTGGAAGGAGCAATACAATTGCAAGACCTAGCTATCTGTTCAGCACCACTCATGAGGAATTTCTCTGACCATTTCTTTGTGATCCACCAGAATATGTGGATTAAAAATGCCTTTAAAATAGAGGATATGCAAATGATTTTTCAATATCCTAATATACCCATTCCTAATATTACACAACACAATGTCATACCTTCCCCAAGTGCCTGTGTTGCTTTCTTTCAATATCTCAATGAAATTGGGCTTAATAATCGCAAACCATTTGGGAGAATGGGAGGACTGGTCATCCACTTTGATACAGTTATGAAACACTGGTCATATAAATATTTGATAAAATATTAATTTCTTGGTGTCAACTCTGCCTGACTAAACCTTGCTGCTCTCCATGCTGTTGTCATTGATTAGGTATGTCACTGAATTTGTGGATTTGGGTAATGTCTCTGCTCTAAGAACATTTAGAGTGCTCCGGGCACTGAAAACCATCACAGTTATTCCAGGTGGGTGCTATGGAATTTTCTATGTCTTTAGATTGTCCTCTTTTGCTGATTATAAAATACATAAGATGGTACTTTCATTGTTATAGAGGCATAGAGTCATACAGAACAGAAACAGACCCTTCGGTCCAACTCATCCATGCCAACCACATTTCCCAAACTAAACTAGCCCGTTTGCCAGTGTTTGGCCCATAGCACTCTAAACCTTTCCTATTCATGTACCTGTCCAAATGACTTTAAATGTTATAACTGTACCCGTATCTACCACATCCTCTAGCAATTCATCCTACATACAAACCACACTCTGTGTGAAAAGGTTGCCCCTCAGGTCCCTTTCAAATCTTTCTCCTCTCACCTTAAAAGTATGCCCCTAGTTTTGAACTCCCCCACCCTCGGGAAAAGACCTTTGCTATTCACCTTATCTATGCCCCTTGTTATTTTAAAAATCTCTATAAGGTCACCCCTCAACCTCCTATGCTCCAGTGGAAAATGTTCCAGTCTATACAGCCTATTTTTATATCTCAACCTTCCATTCCTGGCAACATCCTAGTAAACCCTTCCTAAATCCTCTCTGATTTAACAATATCCTTCCTATAGCTGGGCAATCAGAACTGGACACAGTACTTCAAAATAAGATCAATTTGTCGGGAGGTTGGTGCTCATTGAGTTCCTAAAACTACTTAACAGGAACAATTAAGATAATTCAATACCTCACAGAGAAAAAGACATTTCTTTTTGTCATTGCCTGCTCAAAGAAATGAAAGCAATAAAAGTCCATGAAATTTACATTGATGATTTTAAATAATTGTGAATATTTACAAACATAACTGCAATATTATTAATGATAACTTTATGAAAAGCAATTGCACATTTTTTAGTTGATCAAGATGAACGATGTTAGTCCCGCGAAATGGAGTTCTTTCTGCTTCAGCATCCACTGCTAGCATCAATAGGTGTTTCAGCTGTAACAGGCAAAGAACCAAGTGTAAAGTAACTTTTCAACATCCCCAGGACTTGTAATATGATCATGGCTGTGCAGTCATAACCCTCACTATAAGTGATATTAAGATCTCTTCCACTCCACATACAAAAGGATTTGTCTCTCTTCAGCAATTCTAAAGTCTTCCACCATAGTCCCCTGGACAGGTATTTACATCTCCAGTGGTTGATAGTGATGAGGAGACTTTAAAATCATTGAATACTTCCCAGTTCTCAGCAAAATGTCGCCAGAGAAGAGGAGATCCATTACTGAATTGGGGCGATGCCAGTGCAGTCTTCCAAAAATTGTACAATTTGGCAGCGCCTCATCCAGCAAGTTCGAAAATGACCACGTGAATTCCTGCTGTACAAAAGTGACAAAAGCAGAAGGGGAGAGGGTAGAGTTCTAATAGGAGAACCTCACTTTCTCAGGACAGCTCTTGCCCCTCTGTGTGGCTCCAGGATTCGCTTTCTGAGAGCACTCAAATCATGAGGCCAGGTAGAAGTCAACCTCTTCCAACAACAACATAAACGTCAAGCACACCCCTTATAACTAGCTCATTGATAGATGCAGTGTAAAGCTTTGTCTGTCTCTGTTGCAATATGCCTCAGGCCTATCCTCAGGAAAGCTTCTTGTGACAGGAATTTTATGCTGCACAGCAATCATACTGAGGCCAAGTGTTATGAGATTGTCAATTAATACATCAATTGGAACAATTTCAGATTGCACCTGTCTTGTGTTACCATAGCAACTACACTTCAATGGCTGCAAAGCACATAGAGACATTTTGAAGCTGCGAAGGGTATAATATAATTATGTCATCTTCTAGTGGATTGAGAACAAACTCATTTATCGTACACGGAGATAGCAAGAACTGCAGGTGCTGGAGTCAGAGATAACACAGTGTGGAGCTGGAGGAACACAGCAGGTCAGGCACCATCAGAGGGGCAGGAAAGTCAATGTTTCGGGTTTACACTCTTCATCAGGACCTGTAAACCTGAAACGTCGACTTTCTGCTCCTCTGATGCTGCCTGACCTGCTGTGTTTCTCCAGCTGCACACTGTATTGACTCATTTTATATATGGTGTTTACAGCAAGTTGACAGATTTAAGAGGCAGTTCCAGAGACAAAAGGCAACTGCACTATCCAGTCTCCTCGATTACCTGGGTTTTATCATTAGATGCAATGATAAACTCCTTCATCGGACGGCAATAGACGTCCCTACATTCAGTAGTATAGAATTGTGACAGTCTCCAATAAAGTTAATGCTTCAAGGACTGGAGAAATTAAAGATAAAATATAATGCCATTTGAATAAAAACACAGATAGCACTTTCAGAATTGGGGAGAAATTAATGTAAGTTGCTTTCTTTTAGTATAACATACAAGTAAAAGTAATTTGTATTGAATTTTGAGTGAGTAATTAGTTCCAATTCCATGGTTACTATTACCACCACTGAAGCAAATGGATCAGTGGGATAGTCAACATCCTTTATATTTGGAATTATAGGCTAGGATTCAGTTTAACATACAACTTATTTTTCTGTTCATTAGGGTTAAAAACAATTGTCGGAGCTCTCATCCAGTCAGTGAAGAAATTATCAGATGTGATGATTCTGACAGTTTTCTGTTTGAGTGTATTTGCACTTGTTGGTCTTCAGCTCTTTATGGGAAATTTGAAACACAAATGTGTGATATGGCCACCACCAGCGGAACTGCTATATAATTACACCTTCATAGGGAATGTGTCGGGGATGGACAATGATAGCCTGATCAGTACAGAATTCGACAGGCAAGCCTACCTTGAAAATGAAGGTATTGTTTATGCCGTTTACCTTTATTCTGATTCAATATCTGTACAAAATATTATTTTCTTGTTTTCATGATAAATAAAATGTGGAATTGAAAGCTATTCTCAATAATAGTGAGCATGATAACGATCATCAATTGTTGTAAAACCCCTGTGTTTCAATGCTGTCATTTAGGGAATGAAATCTACCCTCCTTATTCAGTCTGGTTAATGTTACCCTAAGTGATAGATGTAATTAACTCTTAACTACCCTGTGAAATGGCTTAAGAAGGCACTGAGTTCAAAGCAATCAGTCATGGGTGATAAATGTTAGCTTTGTCAATGATACCCACATCCCAGCAAACATTGAAAACAAAAAAAATGTACATAAAAAGGATGTTTTACTACAATGCCATAATCACAGTCTGTTCCCTTGCCACATGGAGACTCAAGCCAATTATTTTCTTTCTTTAAAATCAACCCTTTGTACTGAGTTCCTTTAGGTCATTATCGACTATAATTCAGCTCAATTCATAAAATATTTTTTGTAACATGCTTCAGTTTGTTTGTCTTGGGGATGGCATCCCCTGTCTTAACTTGAAACTCTTTGCAATCACTGTCTACATTAGTCAATTTTTAGGCATGAATATTTTGGTGCTAAATTGCCCCTTACAATGTCTCAATTTTGTCTCAATTCCAACAACATTTACTCCAATGATTCACTAACATCTCCCTTGTCCACATTGACTATTCATGTGGGTTTTGCACCAATTATTGTAAACTAATGAAATGCTTTGAATTGTACAAACATGGGACTGAGTTTTTCAGATGGCAAAGATTGTCTTCTTGATACTCAATGAGTTGGTGGGTACCATGGCACCCCTGTAGCCTATCAGTGCTCCCCAGAGTCTTCATTGGCTGGAGATGGGATTTTTTCCCCTCACTTGGCCAGACATCCTATCTCAGAAAGCACCTTTGGCAGCAGTAGCCAGGACTCTGAATGCAAGCTGCCTACAAACGGATCTGATTGGGCAGTGGTAGTGTCCTTGCCTCTGGGCTGGGAGGCCCAGGTTCAACTCTGTCCTGCTCTGGAGGTGTACAGTAACATTTCTGAACAGGTTGATCAGATAATATCTCCAAGCAGTCCCTGGATCCTAAGCTCCAGAATCCAGGATGAGCGAAATGAGGAGGTTCTCCTGACAGAGAGGGGTGGTGAGGGGTTGAGGTTTATGATGTCTTCCCACCGCTGGCAGACATACCAGCAAGGGGCATAAATTTCTGAGCAACATTGTCACCTACTGACCACTGTTCACTTAAAAATAAAATAGTCAAACCTGACCATCAAATAAAAGGATAAGCCACTTGGTCACACAGTTCCCAAATCTATGCCTTTAAACATAGAAAATGTAGGCCATTCACCTCTTTCAGTCTGCTCTCTCATTCAATATGATCGTGGCTGATCATTGAACTCCATACCCTGTTCCCACTTTCTCCCCATACTTTTGACCCCTCTAATATTAAGAACTGTGTCAATCTCAAAATCATTTTACTTGAACTGCTTTAGATGGCAGAGAATTACAAAGGCTCCCCACTCTCTGGGTGAAAAATTAAGTACAACTTCCAGTTAAATATGAGGATAAATCAGTCACTTAACAGTAGATTCCAGTCAGTCTTCAGCACAGTAAAGGGAGATATCATAACGGGGTAATAATTCTCCAAGGACCTAAGAGTCACAATGTCAATGATATATAATTTTATTTATAAGTCAATGTGACCCAAGGATGCTAAAATTGCTGTATTTCTTCTCAATATCAAGCAAACCATTACTTTCTAGAAGGTTCTCCTGATGCTCTCCTGTGTGGGAATGGCACAGATGCCGGGTAAGTTACTTTCTCTTGTTTGTTTTAATTTCAGTCAGAACAATTGTATTGTTAGTCTGCAGAAAACTCAAAGCCGTGTCTATCACTGGGTCATTGTTTAAATATTAAACAACCGGACGAGTGAAACAACAGCTGATGCCGGGAATGCACTGATTAAAGTGTTGCTTGACCCACCATCTTTGAGAAGAGAAAGGCCAGCGGATGATATGACCGACATCTGACACGAACACCTGCTTTTATCCATAAATCTCTATCCTGTACACAAGTTTACAGAGAATGTCCTTTTAACATAAAGGAGATTAATTGAGTTTAATTTCCTCTGCAGGCTGTTTTTAGCTTTCTAGTTAACAGATTTGAGGTAAATTCCTGGCCTGGCTATTTTAACATGGCTATCAAGTTGTTTTAAACGTCCGTTGTCAGTTATGACTCAGTGAATAACACTTTTGCCTGTGATTGAGAAAGTTGTTCGTTCATAGTTCCAACGCACAAACTCTAGTCTGACATTCCAGATTGGTCCTGAGGGAGTGCAACACTGTCTGAAGTCACATCTGCCCCCTTCTAGGATGTAAATGATCCCAGGACACTAATTCAAAGTAGAGAAGGGAGTCCTTCCGAATGTCCTGGCCAACACTTATGCTCAATGACTATCATTACAAACAGATCATCTAATTATTGTCTCATGTTATTTGTGAAACCTTAACTGTGCTTCCTACACTAAAGCAGTGACTACACTTCTAAAGTACTTCGTTCACTGTAAAGTGACTTGTGGTATCCTGGAGGTTGCTAATGTGCTTTATAAAAGCCAATTAAGTCTGACAGTAAAATAGAGAGAGAAGTGCAAAATAGCTGAATAATTAACAAAATAAGGACTATATAATTTTATTTTATTAAGGACAATCTTAATACTTTGTGTATAGTTTGTTTTAAACAAATCACTAAATCGAATTGCTCATTAATTCTAGACATCATAAAGAGGAAATTAATCTTCCCCTGTTTATTTCCAAAGATTTTTACCAGCTGATCAATTTTCACTGCGTTTGCTGGCTACTAATGTCCCAGTAGTTGCCTGAAAACGTGGTCAGTAGCCTTACTGCCTTGTTATTATCTCTCTAGAGGTAGTCCGCCTTACATCTGTAGTGTATCTAGGACCTTGATTGCTATTTTAAGTTAGGGTTTCTGATCAGTTCCATAGTATGCTAAAATCATAGCAGCCTGGCAAAATTAAATGTTAATTATTTTTGTGAATCCTAGAGGAACAAAACTGCATTACTGTACAGAATTTGCACGCTCTGCTGTCAAAATCAACTCCCCTTCTGACTTAACTTTCAATGAGCTGACCTGACCCAGACTTGAGGATTCAATCCAATGAGCTTCTTTGTGACATTTGATCATTTGGCTCCTCATAGCTCAATTGTATTGGCCTCAAAATTGTGGTTAATACTTTGGACACTAGCAATGTGTATACTCAATCCAAAAGTAAAGATAGGAGCCCCATCCAGTGTGGTCATTTTTTTCATTTGTTCATGGGGTGTTAACATTTTGCTGGCAAGGCCAGCAGTTATTGCCTATCTGCAGTTACCCTTGGGAAAGTGGTGATAAGCTGCTTTCTTGAAATGATGTAGTCTGTGAGGGCTATGTACATCCATGCTGTTAGGATGGGAGTTCGAGGATTTTGACCAAGTATCAAAATGCCTTGGAGGAGAACTTGCTGGTGGTGATTTTTCCATACATCTGCTACCCTTGTCCTTCAAGGTGGTAGAGGGCATAGGTGTTGAAAGTGATGGTAAAGGAACCTTGGATAGATGTGGCAGATCCAGTCGACTGCTTTCTCCTGGTTGGTGTTGACTGCTGGAGTCCTATTGGAACTGCACTCATTCAGGCAACTAGAGAGTATTCCATCACACATCTTACCTGTGCCTTTTATGAATTACAGTGCAGAATTCCAGCCATTGACCTACTGTAGTAACTGCAGTATTTACATGGCAGGTCTAGTACAGCTCCTGGTCTGTGGTAACCCTCAGTATGTTGATGGTGGGGGTTTCAGCAATAGTAATGCTGTTGAATATCAAAGAGAGATGTTAAATTTTCTCTTGTTGGAGTTGGTGATCGCTTGGAACTTGCATTATATGAATGTTACTGCTGAAGCAGAAGACTGGGCCTCGGTTTAATATTTTCTCAGAAACGTAACAGCTCTGATAAGAAAGCGTAATGGTACAGTTTGTGAGCTGCCAAAGGCCCCAGATTTTGACATTGTCCCCAAAGTGGGGGTTGGGATGATTTGCATTAATGAAAGTGAGCGGCCCAGATGTACTGAGACAACCACCCAGAGAAACAAACAGTAATGAGAGCGTGGCTAAAGAACTTAGAGCAATTAATTATTTGACATGGTGTTCAGGAAGAAAAGAAGCAGCTTTTTCAGGGTAATAAATAATTCTCAAATTAATTGACAAGTTTAACTCTGACAGTCTCATAGCCTTCCTAAAGTTCACTGGAGGATTTATTCTTCCCCTCTGCAATTGTAGGCTCCATTGGCATTTCTATGCATTGGATTCCTCCCAAAATTCCTGATCCAAACAATGTGGGCAATCTGCCCATTTTATGCTCTCCCACGTCCCAGGAATTTTGGAGCGACATATTCAGGCTATGTCCAGGACTATTGTGATGGGCTAATTTTATTGTTGCACCTCTGCTTGCCAACTTTATAGCACAGGCTTTTTTAGTCAGGCAATGGGAATGGTTGATCATTCTTTTTCTTGTATCATTATTAACCTTTTGTTTAAATATGCTGAGTTCTGAAATATATCCATGTTCTAAGATGAAATCAGGCATCAAAAATGAAATTATATGTGGTCCTGTGGTTACAAAGGGTCTAAGTTGAGATCACAAGTCCCAGTTTGAGATTCACTACAACTTTCAATTCCATAAGCTGTGACTGTGTCAATGACATACAGAATGTGTTTATTATTGAGGACACAATGTAAGACAGGCATTACACTGCAGTTCAGAATGTTGCATTAGTCCTTTTTGAATGAGTTGACAAACGTCGCTAAAATAAAAAACGAACTGCAGATGCTGGTAATCTGAAGCATGTGATGTTCCTATGGCTTTAAGAAGTGTATTTAGTCCTTTTTTTTATGAAGAAAAGTTGAGGCAGAGGCATCAAGCAGTCTTCTCAAAGCCATTAAGGTAAACAGCTTGTGAGGCCTTGGGATTTTTTCAAAAGTTGGAACAATAGAAGCAGGCTGAATGGGTGGAATCAAGCTCCCGCAGAACCAGGATTTTTAGTTTTAGCTTTCAGCTGTTGGTGGGGTCTTGAAGCCGAAAGTGGAAGCTTTTATTTTTCTCTCTGCTACACCGAAAAGCTGGGATTCTATTCCTCCTGCTAGAATTGCATGTGAGACAATCTATTTTACTCAATTTGCCTTTGCAAAGGGTATGTTTATGGAATGTTACTATATTGGAACAGTTAATTAGTAGTAGATAACATATCTATTATTTTGTTAAGCATTTCGATAGCATTACAGTTAAGCCAATTCTCTTTTTATTTTGTCTGTATTTTAACTGTGGTGTAAAAACAAAGTGCGTTTTGCTTAATGTCAAAATCTTTGACCAAACAAATTGCATCTAGAACACAATGCCTTACACTTACCCTTAAAAAAGAAAAAGTTAGGGTCCAGCCTATCTTCTTCATATATTTTGAGGGGATTTGATCCAGTCCATAACAAACAAAATCAGAAATTGCTGGAGAAGCACAGCAGGTCTGGCAGCATCTGAGGAGAGAAAGCATTTCTGAAGAAGGGTCACTGGACCTGCGATGTTAACTCTGCTTTCTCTGAGTTTCTCCAGTAATTTCTGTTTTGTCACAAACTTTGCTCCCTGCGTAAAAGTAGAAAGTGCTGGAAATACTGAGCAGCTCAGGCCACAACTTTGGTGAGACACAGAGTTAACAATTTGAGTGAGATGTGACTCTTATTAGCTTTGTTTCTCTCTTCACACATGCTTCAAAATATTTTTAACATTTCCAGCACTTCTTGTTTTTAATTGAACTTCCTAGCATCCATAAAATTTTCCCTAATATCTGCTCAAATGGATGAAAAAGATCAATAGCAGTATTTGAAGAAGGCAAGTTTTCTCAATGGCCTGAACAATATTTATGCCTGAATCTTTAGCACTGTAACAGATTATTTGTTTATTTGTCTTGTTTCTTGTGAGACCTTCCCATATATCCCATACTTGCCAACACACCGTCTGTGATTGTGGAATCATTTGGGAAGTCAAAAAAATCATTACTTCTTTGTTGATAGTGCAGTATGGTAACTACTATATCATCACTACCTAGTATTGTTCTGAATCTCTAATTGTTTATTTTCTGGCTTTTCCAGGAGATGCCCTGATGGTTATATGTGTTTTAAGACTGGGAGAAATCCAAACTATGGTTACACCAGCTATGATACTTTTAGTTGGGCATTTCTATCACTATTCCGGCTCATGACACAAGACTACTGGGAAAATCTCTTCCAGTTGGTAAGTATTTGTGAGCGTGGAGTTTTGAATATTTTGGGTCTTATGTTTCAGAAGGAATGGGCTAAGACAAACAGTTGCTATGAGCTATATATCCTTGTGGTCTTGTGGCACAATGGATAGCATTCCTATTTCTGAGCCATATGCTCCATATCCCACTCCACGACATGATGTCAATGGAAGTTATGTTCATTGTGTAGACAAATCTATAAAGTATTGATTTGTAAATGCTTCCAACTTTTTCTAATGGCAGGCAGTAAGAGCAGGAGAGATTCCTGGTCCATCTTGCGGTGGAAAGGAATTAGAATCTCTGCCGTCACTGTCCATAACTCCAGGCTAAAACAAAAAGTGTGTGCTGTCACAACAGCTTAGACTCATTGGGGCACCAGTTAGCTGGTGTGGATCAGATTTGTGGTAACAGCCTGGTTTCTTTTCCTATTCCTTCTGGGAGGGATTTGGAACCTACTTGTGATGCAGGTTATGGCATTGTGGGTTGAACTTGCCTTAAGATAGAGAACTCAAGAAGAAAATCCTGTAGATGTAGATCAAGTATTTAGAATGCCTGAGGTAGAACTCCAGGTACAGTCTCTCACTTTCAATCCCCACTCAGATTTCTCATTTTAGCACCATTTATTTGCTTATATATTTTCTCCTTCATTTTGCGCATTGTATTTAAGGTAATGGCAGAGAAAGAGTCAACACTGATGCTGCACAAAGCTCCACCCAATTTGTTCATGTTGGATGGAGAATAAGTAGTCCAGGTCCCAGTGGAGATAGATGTATAATTTCTGGCTTCTAATCATCCTTGTAATGATGACCAGCTAGTCGATGTAACTTGTACCTATCATGAAATAAATTACACCTAGTTGTTAAGTCAAGTGCCTCTTTTCATTAAGACTCAATAGTAGTTTATCTTCTACCACTGCGAAATAGATGACCCCTTAGACTCAGCATAGTACGAAGGATTGGTGGCAACCCTGTACCCCATCCACAAACTCTCTGTAGTTGGCACTGAAATAAATGACGGTGATCCGCAAAGGTGTCATTGCTTAAATATCTCAAGGTAACGTTGGTGAAAAAATCCATTTGACCCAGGAGAAAAGATTTTCAGAAAAAAAGCTACATTCACCACTTTAAGAATGGTATTGCTTTAAGAAGACATAAACAGTCACTCAATGGCCACACGTGTGTATATTGAGAAGCAGTCACAGCACCACCCATGGAAGTAGTAGAAAGGTTTAGCTCTGACCTGGTAAGAGGTACAGGAACAGAAAATCAGTGAAGGTTGGGGAGAGTTGAAAACTGGTAACACTGGGAAGTTACAAATTCTTACAGAAGAAGGATTTTTGGGAGCAATTTGGAATACCTTGAGTAAAGTTACAAATCCTGTATGGGCAAGGAGAAAAATCTTTCAAATAACAGCATGAGAGAGCAGTCTGAGCAGGGAATGCAATATTATGAGAAACACAAGTTCAAGCTAGCCTGTACTACATAAAGCCAGCTGTCCTTCTTAAAGGAAGGTACATTTTGATGGAATAGGTGGTGGAAGTCATTCTAAGAGTGGAAAAGATGCAAAAATTAAATAATGTGCTATATTTCTATTCTTCCTGGCAAAGTAGTCAACCGCACAGTTCCCCGCATTATACTCTCTGCGCCAATTTTTTTAACCACTCACTTAATGCCTGTATATATCCATTTGCAACCTCCTCGCAACTATTTTTCCTGCCTACCTTTGCATTATCAGCAAATTTGGCAACAATAAAGCCAGTCTCTTCAACCAAGTCATTACTATAGATCATAAATAGCTGAGGTCCCACCATCAATCTCTAAGGCACTCAACTAATTAGTTTGCCAACCTCAAAATGATCCATGTATCTTAGCTTTCTGTTTCCTATTCTCTATCCCTGATAATATATTGCCCCATAATCTTAACGTGTGCCTTTTCAGTGGCACCTCATCAAGTGCTTTTAGAAATCCAAATACATTACATTATTGTTTCTCCTTTATCCACCCAGTTTGTTACATCCTTGAGGACCCTTAATACCTTTGTCAAACATGCTTTTTCTTGCACAAAATATTTTGATTTTGCCTGAATGTAACATGGCTTTCTAAGCATCTTGTTACAAACTCCTTCACAATAGATTCTAACATTTTCCAATGACAGATGTTAAGACTACAATTTCCAGCATTCTGATTCCCTTCTTTCTTGATTATAGCGTCATAGTCATGGAGATGTACAGCACATATCCCTCTAAATCATTCCCATTCATATACCCATCCAGATGCCTTTTAAATGTTGCAATTGTACCAGTCTCCACCACCACTTCTGGCAGCTCATTCCATACATGCACCACCCTCTGCACGCAAAAGTTATCCCTTAGGACCCCCTTTAAATCTTTCCCCTCTCACCTTAAACCTATGTCCTCTAGTTTTGGACTCCCCTACCCTGGGAAAAAGACTTTGGCTTTTCACCCTATGCATGCCCCTCACAATTTTATAAATCTCTTCTATAACTGCACTAAGCAGGACTGAATACAGCGTTCAACATGATGACCCCAGAAGTGAATTATTGAGTGCCAGGATGACTCACGTTTTCAGTTCAATTTTCAGTTTTCAACACAACCTAATATTTGGTTTACTTCACTCAGTGCCAGTTTGCATTGTTACAATAGCTTCGAATTATTGTCAGTCGTCACCCTCAGGGACTTTTATATCTTACCTCCACGTGATTTTCTTTTTATTTATCTAATAGTTCCCTCCTGGTATTTTTGGTGAGACAAGATAGGTCATTAATATTTCATTGGATTAAAATTATGGCAATGATGACCTACTCAAACCACAGGCGAGTTATAGAAAAATACAATCTCCTGTATCTTTTGCAGTGGTTTTGGAGTTGCCCACAGTAGTCTTGTAAATGCCAAATAGAAATAAAAAAAAAATCCATTTTCATATAAATGCAGTTTATTTTCATTGACCACCAATGATGTACCATTACAAGATGATGGTCTAGGGGATTTATTGCTGGTCTGTTAATCCAGAGACCTAGGTAATGTTCTGGGGACATGAGTTCAAATCCTGCATGAGATATGGTGGAATGTGATTTCAATAAATATATGGAATTAAGAATGAAGATGACGATTGTAAAAAACTCCCATTTGGTTTACCAATGCCCTTTAAGGGAGGAAACTGCCATCCTTACCTGGTCTAGACTGTATGTGACTCCAGACCCACTGCAATGTGGTTGACCTCCAGGCAATTGCAGATGAACAATAAATGCTGGACTAGTCAGTGACACCCTCATCCCATGAAAGAATAAAAAAAACCTGAAATTATTTCTGAAATTGAGGATCTTTATGGGTGAGCCTCTTGCGATGCTAGCAACTTTACATCACAGCGTTCCAATTATCTTTTATAAAATTACTCCACTGATATAAGAAATTCCACTTTTCTAAATATTAAGCGCTTTGTCTTGAAAATATTGGTAAGGTACCATTGCAGATATTATGAGACCGAATTTACTGTCAAAATAATAGTTAGGCTAAAGGCACACACTATTATTTGTCTGCAAAGCAATTGGGATTTAATTCTTTTGGTATGAGCTACAGGGGCAAGCATCTTTAGTGGCAATTAACCACCTGTACCCACCGGTGAGAAAGAAGCCTGTGAGATCACATGCACAGTAGGCACATAAATGCTGGCCAGCAGGCTTCTCATCCTATCAGGTACCATACCATACGGTGACAATATTGTCCAATCTATCAGTCAGTGGCTAGCCATAATTTGGCTGGCAAGTATTAGGAGCTGGAGAGAGGCAGTGGAGGTCTAGGTCATGTGTATGTGTGTTTTGGTAGTGAGGTGGGAATTGCAGAGTAGACATTGCAGGGAGAGGGGATCTCAGGCTGGTTGGAGATGACGACAGGAAGCATTTCAGCGACTTCACCCTGCAGCACTCCTCCAACCCACTCATGCACCCAACTGTCACCAAATTGGGGAAAATAGAGGCCCACCCCTTCAACCTGGCAATCAGACAGAAAGGGAGCTATTTTCCCTCCTGCTGAAAAGGCAGATATTGGGCTCCTGATGAGTTGAGACCCTTGGATGCTCACTATCAAACCACTTCAAGGTTTTAATTGGTGATTGGTCACTAAGTTTGCCTTTAGATCTTCCCGCCAAAAATTTGATTTTTTACTTGCAGCAACATGCCCTGCAAATGCTCATAGAGTCATGGAATCATAAAATCCATACAGTGTGGAAGCAGGCTATTCGGCCCATTGAGTCACACCAACCCTCCGAACAGTGTCCTGCCCTATCCCTGTAACCCTATATTACCGCTGGTTCATCCATCTAGCCTGCATATCCCTGGATACTATAGACAATTTAGCGTGGTCAATCCGCCTAACCTGCACATCTTTGGATTCACCAAAATTAAATAAAAAGGACGAGTTGAGCTAATGACAAAGGCTGCTCAAAATATGGTAATGTTATGTAAACATGCAAAACATTTGTGTAATTTGCATTAAATGATGGCTCTGTGCAAGCAAAATACCATTGTGGATCAAATAGAGTGATGCCTCATTTTCCAAGACATACATTCGATCCAAAAATATTGATTATTCCCTTCCATTGCTGACACAAAGGATCCTCATAAAGCCCAGTTCTTGAATCCTCTTATCCCAGTTTAACCATCATAAGCATCAATATGTGGATAAGTTGAATAAAACTCTATTAGTAAATCAAAATGATAGTAAGAGGTGCAAAAACTCAACAATAACTTATATTTAATTTTCTTTCCACATATAATCACCATCTTAATGTTCCAGATTTGGAAGTATGTAACTCATTGGAAGTTTCCACTGAGGTTCTAGATGTGTCTTTATATGTGGAGAAGGAATGTGAGAGATCCTGGAGGAAGTTTATTATCTTGTGTTGCTCTTACAGACTCTCCGTGCTGCTGGAAAAACCTACATGATCTTCTTTGTGGTCATCATTTTCATTGGGTCTTTTTATCTGATCAACTTAATCCTGGCTGTGGTGGCAATGGCTTACGCTGAACAAAATGAGGCCACACGCCTGGAAGCTGAGGAGAAAGAGAAAGAGTTTCAAGAGCTTTTGGAAAACATAAAGAAACATCAAAAAGAACAAGAAGCTCTGGTAAGTGAGCCATTTGCACTTTACCTATTTAATTGTGTGAGATGTTGCTGTTCTTTTCTCATGCCTGTGGTGTATGAGGCAGACAAAGTATGTGCTTTTGTCTGCTTCCATGCCTGGTTTTATCATGGAGTAGTCTCCAGTTTATCATCAGATGTTATAGTTTGAGGTGTGATACTCCACATCAACTATGGCTGACAGGAGACTCTCCTGCACTTACCACCTGCCATTGACGTACGGAAAGATTGTCAGGCTGATAACCAAGCTGTTTCACTACGCTATGATCCTGCTGTGGGCAACACACCCAGAAGTAGGATGTCAACCCAGAATATCTAGTCCAGAGGTAAAGACACTACCACTGTGCCTCAAGATCTCTTCTGTAAGGTTTCAGATGTTGCTGAGTTTTATTCCTCTGACCTATTGGTCTGAAAAGGTGACGCTGGTTTGCCTATTTTGTAACAGTTTGTTACAACTGAAATCCAAGATGACTTTAGAGTCAACCACATAGGGATGACACTGGGGTTGCAAATAGGCCATTGCCAGTGGAGTTAGCAGATTTCTGTCACTAAAGGACTTTAAATGAGCTTTGAATCTTGTAGCAAATCCATGATCACTTTTACTTTGTCCAGAATTTTTTCCAGATTTGTTACCTGAATTTAAACGAACAAACTGCTGTAATTGAGATTTGAGGCCGCACCCTCTGGATTACGAATCAACATTTCTAAACTGTTGAGAACATCCAGCATTTGTTTTTATTTTTGCTTAGGATTTCCCACGTCTGCAATGTCCTTTGTGTCAAGGAGATTAGTACAAGTTGAGGACCAAATGCAAGATGTTCCTTGCTTTGTACAGTCCAGCTGTTCAATGCCTAAAGAAGCTGAATCATGTTTTCAAATTAAATTTAATGAAGCGATGTGTCTTTGTGCCAACAGAGTATTGAACCAGTTGACGGCTTTTGCAGTAGGGTTAGCTACTGTTATTTAGCTGTTGCAAAATTATCATGAAATAATTTGCTGTTGGTAACCAGCAAATTCTAAAAGCCATTTAAATTATAAATACTTCCTGTGAATCTCTGGTCGATACCTTGTGCAATTCCTTACTGTGTTGGTCTCCTCTAAGAAAACCAACAATATAAATCTAGATGATGCATAAGAAGCCTTTGAAGGCATGACCTCCCCTTGAAGCCATGCTGACTCCACCTATTTTACCATTTTCTTCCAAGTACTCCGCAATCCTTCATAATGGACTCCAAAATCTTACCAGCATTCGAAGTCAAAATTGGAAATATACTCTGTTCTCAACACCAAAATTCATAGTATTCGGGAGCACACAAGAAGACAAAATTAATTTACACTTCTTTATTGTTCTACGGTTTATAAGATGAAATGTATATTTCTCATTCTTCCCTCCTTAGTTACATGCTTCCAAAGAATACTTTGGTAGCCACTACTCATTGTCAAGTGACAGAATGCAGAAGAAAGACGGTTCTGACAAATATCCCACCGAGGATGAGCACGGAACTAAGGAAGGCGAGAGTCAGCGAGGGTCACTAACAATTCCACAAACGAAACCATCAATCCACATTACAATTAATGGAGTTGTTTCTCAAGATGGCGAAAGTGGCACAGCACCTAATGGCAGAGTTGTACCATCTACTGTTACAAACAAGGGGGACAGGAATGAAGACGTAGGTACTTTTTAAACAGATTTGATTTTCGCACTGTTTGTGATTCTGTAGTTTGATCTGGGATGCATGAATCAAGATGCATGTATGGAGGTTGTGATGCAGAATGATGTCAAAACATAGGTTCAACTCCTGTATTGTCTGACATCAGCATCGAGGCCTTCATTTGTCAACCTTGCCCCATGCATGATGCATGAGAGACCAGCTGATAGTCTTGTAGGTCTGTATTTCAGCAATAATTACAAGAGCAGTTGTAGAATTGCACAAGAGAGGGAAATGATGCTTCGGAAAATAGTAAGATTTGGGACAATGTTTTGAGTGCAATTTGCAGTAAGTTTGTTCAACTTTATGTGAATAATCAATGCTCAAGTCTAGTCCTGCAGGAACTTTGCTTTGTCAAAAACAAAACTTAAAAAAAATTTATTGAAAAAGAAATTGTGCTTTGTGTTATTAAGTGAAACATATATTCCATACATGTAGTACTAGGTCAAGTATAAAACTCATAACCTTTCCTGTTTTTAGTATTAGTGAGCTTCTTGTTGGTAAGTCAATGCTGATTGATTCAAATCACAAAATGCATTCTTTTCAAAAAGAAAATCTGTTTTTTGCATAGTTACAACTTAACATGTCAAAGGGTAAGATCATTTTTATTGGCACTGGATTTGTTTTCTGATTGATGATGGTACATTTTCCTGGATTGCACCTGGTCCCTTGTAGGTAGCTGGTATGGATATTGAAGATGAGACTTCTGGATCCAAACGTACCTCCACATTTCTGGAAGAGCCACCACCGTCAATGAGAGCCGGGAGTGTAGCCAGTTTGTACAGTGGCATCAGGCTGGATGGTAAGCTTCGTCTGAACTCTTGGTTATTTTAACTGTTTAACTAACTCTTCCAGCACTTGACAAATCTGTAACCTGTTTGATGAGGGTCAAAATCCGAAACAGACAAACAACTCTTTACAACGGAATAAGACTGACTGAAAGTAAAATAATTCAGGCCATTCTTTACAAGCTGATGGTTGAATCCAATTAAAAATAAATGACAATGGAAGCTGTTAGGTTGCCACAAAAGCCCACTGGTTTGCTAATGTCCTTATTGGATTAAGTAACCTGGCACCCTACCCAATCTATGATTTCTAATTTTCTTGTCAAGCACAAATTGCAGGTCCTTAAGATCCACAGGGCAACTCCTAGTGACCGATAACTGCTGCTTTGCTGATGTTATCCATATCCCAGGAAGAAAAAAAGTGTTTTGTGACAGTGGAAGAACATGTATAGACATATAGATTGTCACTTCAGATATTTGTTGATGCCGAATTTAATAGTCCCTGAGAAAGATGGTGGATGGAACAGGGCAATTGGTGTTCATGATGCATGATTAACTTTTGCCTTTTGGATGTAATAGAGGTAGCTCAACATCTTCATTTTACCCATTCATTTGTATGATTTCTGCAGCCAGTTGGTTAGCCATATAAAGTAGCTGTCCCCACTTAATGAGGTGGTATGTTGTGGCTGCAGCAGGTGCTGGGAGTCCTGAAGGATTTGAATCTGACTTGGAAAATTTAAAGAATGGCTAACCACAGGAGAAAAAGCCAGCTTCCTGGTTATCTAACTCACCCTTGAGAGCTTGGTAGAGGCGATGGAAAGGAAGCGAGGCATCCTGCGATCCCAGGGGGACAAGAGGGGGCTAGAGGGGCCTGTCACACGGTGAACAGGCAGTGGGAGCAGGTAGCTGTGGAGGTCAGCACCAAATGCTAGCCCCAAAGACCTAGAAGCAATGCTCATGAAGCATAATGACTGACATGACTGTTCTTATCAACTGAATCATTAATCTCAGCCACTGCTCAAATCACCGTATTCCCAATCAATCTACCAACAATCTCTGTTAAGAAGGATAAGTAGAGGGGCCAATAAACAGGGGGTGTAAAATTGGTAACCTTGGTAGAAGGCCAAGAGGAAAGTCGAGGAGATTTTTTTTTCACCCATAGTGTGCTGAGAGTCTGGAACTCACTGCTTGAAGTTGAGCCAGAAACCCTTGTCATATTTAAGCCATGATTAGAAATTGACTTGAGTTATCATAACCTCCAAGAGTATGGGCCAAGAGCTGGAAAATGTAATTATGTAATCAGATCTTATGTAATCTTACTTGAGGAAGGATGTACTGGCACTGGAGGGGGTGTAAAGGAGGTTCACTAGGTTGATTCCGGAGTTGAGGGGGTTGGCTTATGAGGAGAGACTGAGTAGATTGGGATTATATTCATTGGAATTCAGAAGATTGAGGGGGGATCTTAATGAAACATATAAAATTATGAAGGGAATAGATAAGATAGAAGTAGAGAGGATGTTTCCACTGGCAGGTGAAGCTAGAACAAGAGGGCATAGCCTCAAGATTAGAGGGAGCAGATTTAGGACTGAATTGAGAAGGAACTTCTTCACCCAGAGGGTTGTTAATCTATGGAATTCCTTGCCCAGTGAAGTAGTTGACGCTACTTCAGTAAATGTTTTTAAAGATAAGGTAGATTTTTTCTGAACAATAAAGGAATTAAGGGATACGGTGAGAATGTGGGTAAGTGGATCTGAGTCCATGAAAAGATCAGCCATGATCTTACTGAATGGCGGAGCAGGCTCGAAGGGCCAGATGGCCTGCTCCTGATCCTGGTTATTATGTTCTTATGTTCTTTGTTGTCTGGCGTGGATGTGATGGGCTGAATACTGTCCTTCTGTGCTGCAAATATTTAAAGATCAACAAATGAAAACCTCTGCCGTGTTTACACTTTAACCTAGCCCCTAAGAGAACACTTCAATCTCCAGGAACCGGCAGAAAGCTATTCTGAACTCCCAATGGCTTGCCTTCTTCTCCCTTTTCAGACTGGATAATTCTAACCTTAGACCTGACTCAAGCTAAAGCTAGGCAAATCCTCTAACTTTGTTTAAATCCTTATGAAGTTGAGTACTACATCTCATATGCATTCTTCTTGATGAGCAATATAAACCATCTCTAACACTTTCTCCCTTCCTCTCAGAACCTTACAAGTTGATCAATTTCTGTCAAGTGCAGCAATATTTAGAAAAATACTACAACACCTTGCTGTGGACTATTCCCCTCTTCACCCCCATCTCTGTGGCCTCTATCCAGGCAGAAAAACCAATTAGTTTTAATCTAGATCCCCACCATCTCCATTCTATCTTGGAGACAAATGTATAGTTTAAGGCATAACTGATTGTAAAATCAGACACTCTTAACACCTCCCTGTGAGACTTGAAAAATACAAGTTTATCGACAACTGTTCTGGTCATTGTTTATGGGTGTGAATGTCTTGCACCAATTTCCCAGGAAATGAATCTGGGCTTCACTGCATCTGTTATAACCAGGTCAGGGATGTTGTCCAACAGGATTCATATGGACCCCTTCACTACTTGATTTTAACTTAAACATAACAGACTTATAAACTTTGTATTAGCCATGTTCACTAAATTATTACTTAGAACCATAAACTTTATACATGTAACATTAATCATGTTCATTAAATAATTACTTAGAGACAATGTCCCAGACTCTTCCATCACCATCCTTGGGTATGTCTTGTCTCACTGGAAGGACACATCCACCAGAGATGATGGCACATAGGTACAGAGTCAGGAGGGAATTAAAATGGAAGTCCTCATCATTGTGGTGGAGAGTGAATGTTTAATGTGATGTATCAGTCAACTGGCCCTGCTTTGATCTGGATATTGTTGAGTTTCTTGAGTGTTGTTGGAGTTGTATTTATTCAGGCAAGTGGGAAGTATTTTATCAGCGTTCTTTAAAGATAGTGGACATGTTTCTGGGGAGTAACATGGTGAGTCACTCATACAGAGTGCCCAACCTCTGACCTATTTTAGCCATTGATTATTTTTCTGGGCTCATTCAGTTACATTTCTGGTCAGTGGTAACCCACATGATGTTGATCAATGATGACATGGTTGACTGTCAAATGGAGGCGGTTAGAATCTCTCTTGTTAAAAATGACTATTTCTTGCCACTTTTGTGGTAATGAAAGCTACATGCCACGCACCAGCCCAAGCCTGAAGATTGTCCAGGCCTTGCTGTATGTGTCACAAACTGTTGCATCACTAGAGGAATTTTGAATGGACCTGAACACTGTATAATCCCACACAAGGATTTGAACTTGCTGCATGCAAATCAACTGCTGCTTGTTCTACGTTACAACAATGATGACATTTCAAAAGTATGTAATTGGCTGTAAAAGGTACAGGTCATCTATAAACTGGGTGACTTATCTTTTCTGGTACCTAAAAGCTTGAATTAAATGGAAATTATTGGAGACATAATTGGCTATACACCTACATGCAAAGATAGAAAGATTGTACATTCACTCCAAGAAGGCACAAGTTGTTACGAAAACAACAAAAATAATTTCTTGTCATTTATATCCTATAGAGCTGGAAGAGGCACAGCAGCATTGCCCACCCTGGTGGTATAAATTTGCCAAAAGGCTTCTAATCTGGGATTGCTGTCTGCTGTGGATAAAATTCAAAGAAATCTTGAAGATTATTGTGATGGACCCATTTGTGGATCTAGGAATCACTATTTGCATTGTGCTGAACACTCTCTTTATGGCAATGGAGCACTATCCCATGACTGAAACTTTTGAAAACATGCTCTCTGTTGGAAATTTGGTGGGTATTTGCAGTCTTAACCCTGGAGCCACTACAATACTGAAGGTGGCTATTCAGCCTGTCAATTCAGTGCCAAAAATTGGTCCCAATTTTCCTAGCTGTTAATCTAAAGGAATGTGAGTGCTGGGAAATCAATTTTTTTTTTAATATATTCTGAGCCACAACTCTGCGGGCCATTTTGATGGATTGTTACCCTTCTCCCGTCCATCATTTTCATGAATTGAATCAAATGACATGAGACCAGCACCAGACACCAGGGAAAGTTGCACTGACTGGTTCATTTAGGATAGTAACAGAAAGATATGGATAGTGTCAACCCATTGGGTACTGGGGGCTGGTGTGGGAGAGATAGAGAGAAACAACAAGATAGACCATTTCAATGCCAATAACCTGAGGAGTGTCTAATGGCAGAATTGGGTATGGAGGAGGGATAACCACAGAGAGGCAGGAACAAGTGACTCCAGGCAACAGCGCAGGTTTTAATGTTGAGCTGATTCGATGCAATCCTCCAAAATGTAAAATTTTAGCTTTACATTAGAAGTAGAGTTGCCGAAGACTTTTAAGCGGGATGGGCCCATTTGATTAATTTATCAAGCAGGTCTTTCAAACTATGTTAGGTGACTCATTTCAAATTTATGAGCGACCAGGCTCCTGTTTGAGGTATCCACCCATGGTGCTGGGAAAAAAGAATCCTCCCAAGGAATTTAGTTGTAGCATCAACACCTTTGCAAAAAGGAGGACATCAGACATCCCACTAAAGTAAGCTTTGCAGCATTTTAGGCCTGAGAAATAGCTGCAATGCATTTAAATATATGACACATTCAGTAGGATGCGTGTTTTAGCTTATCTTAAAGCAGGTTATAAATCTGAAGTTCTCTCTTCTTCCTGACAGGTATTCACAGGGATTTTCACAGCTGAAATGGTGTTCAAATTGATAGCTCTGGATCCCTATCACTACTTTCAAGTTGGTTGGAACATATTTGACAGCATCATTGTGACTCTCAGCTTGGTAGAACTAGGACTGGCTAATGTGCAAGGATTATCGGTGCTCCGTTCATTCAGATTGGTTTGTATCCGAAGGTCTGCATGTGCTAAATGTAAAAGCCTAAATCTGGGCATTCCCTGCTAGGTTACCAGAAATCTCTTCGTGTTTTGTACAATTTTAGTCTCAGTTAACTTTTCTGTAGAAAGATCTTTCGAACATCCTTAAATTCATACATGAGCATAAGTGCTCCCAGTGAGAAGCTTCATATAGTGGCAGCACATATAGAAATATAGGCCAGTACATTTATGAATGAAACTTTAACCTGAATAATACAGGTAGACAATGGATTAAGCCACAAAGTGGGTGTGTTTACTTCTGTGTTGGGTATTCCAATTATTATCCCCAAGAGGCAAGGCTCTGAGGCTAAAGTGCAGAATCAACCTGCTGAGGGCAACAATGTACCCTAAAAAGTGCCACTTGGTATTGCATGGAGCCTCCAACAGCCCATATGCTCTCAGTGCAGTTTGTTACAATGTACCATCATCAAGTGTAGGTTGAGCACAAGACATTTCCATAGTGAGCGTGGTATCTGTGCCATATTCTCTGGAAGGTGACAAGGAAAAGGGAGTCCTAACCTGAGGTGATAGATGAGACAAAAGACAAGAGTGTTTTAGCTTAATTTTAAGCTGGAAGGACAGCCTCCTTGGCACCAATACAGCTGATGGTTAACCTCTTGTGCACTGTTCTGACATTTTCACTGCTTTATTAGTGATTCAGCAAGGAAATATTGTGTGGCAAAATAGACTGGATGATCCAAAGTTCTTGTCAGGTGGTACCCTCAGGAGCTTTCATTATAAATCAGTTAGCTTTAGTAGGTCCTGAACTCATTTAGACACATCAGGAACAGAATGGCCTGCATTTCCAATAAACAGAGCTTTGGGATTTGGCTGTGAGTCCAATGAGAAGATGTTTCTCTGCAGTTTATGCTCAAAACACAATAGTTAGCTAATCTGAACTCAGTTTTCAGTGAATCTCAGGGAAGGAATACACGCTGAAATTAGAAACTCATTGATTCCATGTTGAACTGTAGGAATCACTCAAAAGATTTCACAGAAGAATCAGCAAAGGTTCCTTCATTCTGGTTCTTACACTTAGTTTCAACTACACTCTTAGTTGCTTTCGGTAAATCTGTTATTGCTGTAACAAGAATAGAAAATTAGACTATATTTGTTCTTCTTTCCAATTTACAGCTGAGAGTTTTCAAACTTGCAAAGTCTTGGCCAACCCTGAACATGCTGATCAAGATCATTGGGAACTCAGTGGGTGCACTGGGGAATCTGACACTCGTCCTTGCCATTATTGTCTTCATCTTTGCTGTAGTAGGAATGCAGCTCTTTGGCAAGATGTACAAGCAATGCGTTTGTAAGATTTCAGATGACTGCACCCTCCCACGTTGGCACATGCACGACTTCTTCCACTCATTTCTGATTGTGTTTCGCATTCTTTGCGGAGAATGGATTGAGACAATGTGGGATTGCATGGAGGTAGCAGGACAGCCCATGTGCCTCATTGTTTTCATGATGGTCATGGTCATTGGTAACCTGGTGGTAAGTCCTTCACCTTTCATCATCTTCCATTTGCTTCAGTCAGGCAGATCAATCAGATAGTTTATGAAGTATGTTCACTTAATAACAATTCCATGAAGTGGATTGTCGTTACAAATTTACAACTTGTTATTCTATAGCAACCCTTGAAATTAAATAGATTTTGGTATATCAAATGTTTTCTCTGTCTTCCAAGTATACTGTAATCTTCCCATCTTCTTCTAGTTAATTTTCCTTGCACTGTTTTTGGACTGATGGAATGAATATGCATAAAATGCTGACACCTGTAGTTTGCTGAGAAACAAGCTAATGTCTGAGAAGTTAAAAGGAACTACAGATTTCCTAGGCAGCATTTGGAGCCTGCATTACAACAAGAAATCAATCAGAATCTTGTGATAAAATATGGAGATTGAAGGGGTTACACCTGAACATTTGGACCAGGAATTCCAAATCGCCAGTCACAGTGCAAAGGAAATTTGATATCCTATAATAGCTCAATCCCTCTTTCAATTGTTTCCTCCAGATCATTTACGTAGGAAATTTGGAACAGCATGAGGCTAGTTTAACCTACTTGACCCTGTAGCCATATACTATTCACGTAGATCATGGCTGATCCTTTTCTTACCAGGAATGAATGGGTTCACAATCCATAGTCTCTGGCTAACAATTTGAAAGACCATAAAACCACAGACCATAAGATATAGGATCAGAATTAGACCATTCAGCAGAAATGAGTCTGTTACACCATTTGATCATGGCTGATATGTTTGTCAACCCTATTCTCTTGCCTTCTGCGATAATCTTTGATCCCCCTCTTAATCAAGAACCTCTGTCTCTCTGTTTTAAATACACTCAATGACCAGGCCTCCACAGCTTTCTGCAGCAATAAGTTCATAGATTCACCATCCTCTGGCTGACGAAATTCCTCTTCGTCTCAGTTCTAAAGGGTCATCCCCTCCGGCTATTCCCTCAGGCCCTTGTCTCTCCTACAAGTAGAAACATCTTCTCCATTTCCACTCTATCCAGGCCTCTCAGTATTCTGTAAGTTTCAATGAAATTCTCCCCTCATCCTTCTAAAATCAGCACAGATCCAGAGTCCTCAACCACTCCTCATATCATAGCCCTTCATCCCCAGGATCATTCTTGTAAACCTCCTCTGGACCTCATCCAAGAACAACACATGCTTCCTTAGATTCAGAGCCAAAAACTGCTCACAATATTCCAACTGCAGTCTGACCAGATTCTTATACAACTTGAGTAGTACATCAGAGATAGTAAGAACTGCCAATGCTGGAGTTAGAGATAACACATTGTGGAACTGGAGGAACACAGCAGACCAGGCAGCATCAGAGGAGCAGGAAAGCTGACGTCCCGACCTGAAACAACAGGTTTCCTGCTGCTCTGATGCTGCCTGGCCTGCAGTGTTCCTCCAGCTCCACATTGAGTAGTACATCCCTGCTTTTGTATTCTAGCCGTCTCAAAATAAATGCTAATGTTGCATTTTCCTCCCAAACTGCCAACTGAGCGTGCACGTTAACCAAAGTAGTCTATGCCTCTATGCTTCCTACCAAAGTGCATAGCCTCACACTTTCCCACATTGTATTCCATCTGCCACTTCTTTGCCCACTTTCCTAGTCCATCCAAGTCCTTCTGCAGCCTCCCAGCCTCCTCAACAACATCTGTCCCTCCGTCTATCTTTGTGTCATCTGAAAACATAGAAACAACACCCTCAGTTCTTTCAGTCAGATCGTTAATGTTTAACCTGAACAGTTGTGGTCCCAATACTGATCCCTGTGGAATTCCACTAGTTGCCTTCTGCCCTTCTGAAAAGAGCCCTTTATCCCTACTCTCTGCCTTCTGCCAGTCAGCCAATCCTCTATCCATGCCAGTACCTTGTCTCTATCGCCATGGGCTCTATGGCAGCTGGTGGATTGAAATTTAATTAATAAATCCAGACTGAAAGTGTAGACTCCATTATACTGATCATGTTACTACCAGAATATTGTAAAAACCCATCTGCTTCAGTAACGTGCTTGACTGGGGGTCTGGCCTACCATGTGTCTTTAAGAAGGTGGTGGTGTGCCACTTTCTTGAAGTGCTGCAGTCCATGTGTTCTGGCCAATAGTGCTGTTGGAAGGGAATTCAAGGTTTGGACTCAGTAACAGTGAAGAAATGGAGATATGGATCTAAATTGTATTTGTGTGGTTTGCAGGGGAACTTGCAGTTGGTAGTGTTCCCATATCTCTGCTCCCCTTGACCTCTTACTAGTAAATATCACAGGTTTATAAAGTGCAATTGAAGCCGCCTTGGTGAGTTACTGCAGGTCGTCTTGTAGATGATGCATATTTGCTGCACTATACGTCAATATGTGAGGGAATGAATGGTGGAGCTCCTGAATAAGGTAGTGTTCAAGCAGCTGCTTTGTCCTGGATGGTGTCAAGCGTCTCGAATGTCAGTGAAGCTGTGTTATTCCAGGTAAATGGAGATTATTTCATCACAATCCTGACTTATGCCTTGTAGATGGTGGAAAGGCTTTGGGGAGTAAGATGAATTACATTGCACAAAATTCCCAGCCTCTGACCTGTTGTTTTGCCATTAGGCCCAGTTAAGTTTACAATCAATGGTGATCTCCAAGATGTTGATGGTAGGGGATTCAGTGATGGCAATGCCATTGAATATCAAAGAGGGATGGTTAGATTCTCCTTTGGAGGTGGCCATTGCTTGGCACCTGTACAGCAGAAATTTTACTTTTCCCTTATCAGACCAGGCTTGAATGGTGCCTCAGTATTGCTGCATGGAGGTACAACTGCTTTGGTATCTCAGTAATTGTGAATGATATCGCACACAATGCAATCATTGGGAAAGATCCAGTTTCTGACTTCAGGAGCAGCACTACAGCAACTCTACAAGATTCCTTCAATGTCACTTTACAAACCTGTGACAACCACTATCGAGAACAACAAAGGCAGCAGACACAAGTGAACACAACTCACACCAAGTTCCTCTCCAAGCCATCCCCTCCCCTGATGTAGAACATTATCACCATTGCTGGTCAAACTGCTCAAATGTTTTCCCTAACTGTACTGAGGGTGTATCTATACTATATTGACTGCCGTGATTGAACAAGCAGGCTTACCACTGACATGATTTATTAGGTCAGTACCACTGCCAGGACGATATAGTCTGAGTGCTTCCCTATTTCTGGTCCATGTAATATATACCACAAAGATTCTTGGTGATATAGATGTCTTGAAGTTTATTAACAACACTATTTACGCTGTCAGAATGTCACAGACTTACACATAGTCTGAATTCTTTGCTCACTTATGTTCCTGCTGCTTGATAGAGTTGACTACTCTTACACTGAGCTGTTTTGTACTGGACTGACTGCTTCACTCGCAAAATGAAGTGGATACATTTTAGATTGAACTACTTAACTAACGGAGTAAAGTGGAGACATTTTAGATTAGAGTACTTAACTAATAGAGGCGTTTTAGACTGGACTATCATGATGTCCTTTAACTGGCCTGGAATCTATTCAATCATGTAACAACACCTACCTTCTCAAGGGCATTTTGAAATGGGGAGTAAGCACTGGCACAGTGAAGCTCACATCCTGTGAATTAATTAAAAAGCAACCATCCATCAGCCTTGGTTCCTTGTCCCTCAATATTTCTAGCTCTGGCTGAATTGGAATCACATTCACTTCTGAGGAAGACAGCCGAAGAAAATGCTGTGGGAAAGTGGTAATGGGGAATTAGATCGATGCTTGGGGGAGTAGGAGAGATTCAGGAGGTTTACTTACCAGGAGGTTTGAACTGAAGGCACAAGATGTCATGGATAGGTTTGGAATCAATATTGCAGCCTCCCTGGAACCTTCCCTCTCAACTGTATAACACCTTGCCTCCACCTCTAGTTAATCTGTTCTACTGGTGAGACAGAACATACCACTGGATGGTGATAATGGGCTCTGAGACAGTGGCTAATAAGTTCGAATGCTATGAGTCTGACTGTTGCATAACAAGTCTCTGAGGCAGTGGTCCTAACTTTGTCAGCAGTGCACAGATGTTCGTAAGGAGGTCTTCAAAGGGTCAAATGTGTTGGCAATGACTTTTGCCACATTTTGATTTGATACTGAGAGGTCCTTCTTGATAAAAAATATCCAATTTGTTTAAACAAATCATGAGCCAATACATTCATCCAACACTTGAAGGCTTAGATTTGGCAATTAGGTGCAAAAAGGATGCCGAAGCCAATGCCATTGAGTGAATGAGAAGCACTAACTGAATAATGTCAAAACTGATATGAGCTAATTGTGAATCAGGTCCTCTGGTGACCTGAAGCCCTTTGGAATGTGGCATTTGCTATTAGCGATTTCTCATTGCAGGTTGGAGGACTTTTACAAATGATATGGCTGTGAGATAAATTAGGAATCACTTTATATTAAAACTACTTGAGTAGTAGAGTATGATTTTGGAGCAATATAATATGTAGTATTTGCAAAATCTTTATAATTTTAAAATGGAATTTAAACAAATGATTGTTCAGCTTCTACACGCAGAGCTGATGCAACATTTATTGCGGTCAAACAAAGAAAACAGAAAACTCTACATGTGGCATCATACTATGTGCAAAATATTCTACCTATTGAAGTTAGGAACATTTTCACTCTCTTCTCATCTCTTTCAAATCCTCCCCTACACTGTACTCAGGTTCTTGATCAATTTACCAGATTTTAAGGCTGTTTTGCATTTAGGTTTGGTATCTCTGACATTAACATGGCCTGCACAAGTTCATGATGTGGACCAATTCCTTCTTTGTAGGATGTGGTCTCAGAAATGTAGGCTGAAGTAAGAGCAGGTCTTTCCAGGCCAAACAATCACATTAATCTCACTGTTCATGTAATGCATTAAAATGTAGGTGACCACATACACCCCACAGTAATTGTGCCAGTGGAGCAAGTTGAATGGAGCAAGTCATTACCACCTCGGTATGGCTGTTAG